CCCTGCCGCGTCCAGTTTACCCGGCGCGGTCGGTCCGATTCCCGGCGCGGTGTATACGCGGTCATAGATCGGCGTATCCTTCGCTGGGCGGGGGATGGGGGGGAAGAGGAGGGGATATACAACCGTCGTTATCCGCGGCCTTTTCACGGACTCGCACACGGTCTCTCTCCCTCTACCGGCTCGCACACGCTAGCGCGCACACGTTGAAAGGGTCGCGTAGGTGCGAGGCTCCCTTGCGGTCGATACGAATTTCACCTCGCAACCGCCGCCGCCACCCACGACCGCCCACCTACCGATTACCTCGGCCTCCCTCTATACCTAGGAGGTGGTGCTGCACGCTGCCTCTCTAGCGTGCAGCAGCTTTCGCGCGGCGAGCGATAAAGTGCACCGGTTCGAAAACGGTACGCGAGAGGGAGCGGACGGCGCCCGGGAGGAGGGAGAGAGAGAGCGAGACAGCGCGATACGCTGCGCGGCCGCGGGAGAGAGAGGGGATCACGTGACCCGGATCGGCCGCCGGATAGACGCACACCGCTCTCCTATTTACATTAGTTTTCGCTTCCTTCCTTGAGGACACCTCTGCCGTAAACGTCATGTTGTCTAAGATTTGAATCGCTTAACCCCCGAGGTACCTGACGTTGGTTTGGACGTACGGACCTTTTTCTACACGCACAGGTAGTTCTCGCCCGAGGGAATTAATCGGTTCCCGGTGACCGTGAATCGAAAATTCTCCCCGGGAGCTATTTAAAGGAATGATTCCGACTAAAATGATAAATTCGAGTAAAGTGAGAATTGCTCGTGAGATGTCTTTCTATGTACTGTACCGCTGATTACAAGAGTGGTCTAAAAGTCATTTTTTTCATTGTTACGAATGAACGTTGCAATTTGAATGGATGGATTAATGCAGTATTTTGGGATTTTTTTTACTTACACCATTTTCGTAATCATGGGCATAATTGGGTGACGACTCTTCGTCCCCGAAGTTATTAACGAATTGAGTTATAGCTTCAGGTTATTGAAGAGGAGGCCAACATTTCAAAGAGGGGCTGAAGGGAAAATCTTTACAATTAAGAGAAAAGAAAAGCATTAGACTTGACATTCATTCAACGATTGATATCGCGCGGGCCGATAAATCGTGAAGGAGACGCCGAGAGTTGGCAGAGATTTAATATCAAGATCGAGAGGACGCTCGTTAAACAGGTACCCGAGGGTAAAAATACATTCTGAGTATAATTATTCGGTGAATCACGACCTACTAGAAGGTTACTAGACGTTCCTACGAGAACCGGTTTCGGGAAGGATCGCAAGATTAGGGCAACGCGGATAAATAAAGATGGAGAGTAAAAATATTTTCTAAAATGGACATAACGATTTAATCAAATCTCTAGTTTATCGAAGTAGACAGGTTTGCTCGAGTGAACGAAAATTCGGTTTACTGATTCAAAACGTTTCTTTTTTTTTTTTTTTTTTTTTCATGAATGAAAACGATCAAACGATCTTGTTCGATGAACGTAATTTTTTGTCTGTTTAAGCGTAAGAGAGCGAGCTCAAGAAGCCGGTCTATAAAAGAAACGTATTTACAGAAACGTGATCCACGCCCTGAGGTATCGATCTTTTTACCTTACGCGGTAGCGACGAGCCGGCTCTATTGTTTGAGCTTACCCTACATACTGTCGGCTGATGACTTTGAAGATAACGGGAAGACAATAGACTATATCCAGAGTCTCAGCAAGAGCTGGGCGAGCATCGGAGAGATTACCGGTACGGTATATATCGTATAGGCGAACACTTCCGCGATTTTGGATGCCCTCCAAATTCCAAAAACGTTTGAACCTCCCCGGGCGATTCTTTTGCGACCGCCTCTGACGACCAATGCGACATTAGCGAACTATAATTAAAATAAATAAATAAACAAATAAATAGTAAAGATTCTTTTCGTCGAAATCGTACACGCGGAAAAAGGAATAAAAAATTGACTCGCTTAACAAAATCGTTTCACCGACTGCATTTCGTTCATTTAAAAAAGCGCTTTGGATGAATGAACCGAATTTCAGTTCGCTCGATCAACCACTGATCTGGTTAAATTGTTTTCTTCATTTTAGAAATTAATTCAGTCGATAAACCGAATGTTTCGGTTGTCCATGTAATTGTCATATTCAATGGCTTAAGTAATAACAATTCTATTGATTCGACCAAATATTTTCCTACGCGTATAAAAGAGAATATATTCCAGTCCTAAGTGCCATCTATTGCCCTGCTATTGTCGCGGTAACCGTTGCGGGATCCCTAGTACGCATAGCACTATGAATTATTAGACGGAGGAATAAGTTCCCGCCGTTTTTAACGTAACGTAATGGAAACTGCGGGAACTCGTTCCTCAACCTAACATATTCCATCAAAACTCTTATTCAGGTTCGAGAATTAGACTTACTAATGTCTGATACCCGGAACTCGCCGTACGATTTACCCGTTCCGCGTAATCTATTTCCTTGGATCGTTCCATAACCTCGGAAACGAATCTGTAGATGTTCTAAAACGTCCTCCTCGAAACAAAACTACAATTAAGATACATTATTAATTAATACCATATTCTCCGCCACGGTTGACCCCTTCTTTTAGAAGATAGCAGAGTTAAGCCCACGCGTGCAATTATTTCAAATGAAAATTTCCTGCAAAAAGATCTCTTCGAGAACTTACGGAACAACCTACTATTTCCTTCCTTCCTAAACTTCCTTTTTCTTAAACTCTCTTTCCGCGCTTTAGGAAGTAATTCGTGGGAAGCTTCCAAGAGGGTGCCACGGCGCAACATCCGGTTTTCGATTCGAATCCGTCCTGAAAACGTGCCCGCGGCGCGTTAAAAAATCGATGGGTTTGCAAACGCGTCGCGCCGCGGCGCGCAGGTTGTTCGAAACACGAGGAGCGAGCTAGGGGGGGGAGGAGGATTCAGTGCGGGGTCAGAGGGGGAAAATGTAGGGAAATGGTGGGGGTGGCGAGAGGGGAAGCTAAGGAGCGCGGAAGCGGGAGAGGAGAAAAATCACTGGAAGGGGGAACGGGGGGAGGGGCCAGGGGCAAGAGAGAGACAGAGAGAGGGAAGCAACATGGCTGCCAACGTAGCGAAGCGAGCGCCGCCTGGACGAATTTTTTCGATCTCTCTGCTAAATGCCCATATCGAACTCCCGCGATGAGGTTAGAATTATCACGACGTAATGTTAGGGCGATTTAACGCGTCTCTTCGAGGTAATTGTTAAAACCAGGAAGGAAGTAAACGAGGGAAAGCAATCTTATGAAAGGCCAAGACACATGTAGCTCGATTGCATGGCCGCGTTGAGTTCGTCGTTTCAGCCCCAGATATCGTTTGAATAATTTAAACTGATAGCCTCGGGCAACGTCTGGTTGTATGGTGCTTCTACTGCGAGCACGTATGTTAGGGCTATGAATGTGCGTATGTTGTTTGTTTATTTTACGAGCTGTGATTTAGCACAGACTGGCCAGATCTGCTAGCTCCCGTGAGCTGGAGAGAAATTTGTTAACCTTGAATGCCTTCGTTGAGTTTTATATTAACCGTGTAGTATTGTTAATACTCTGTAACATAAGGAGACGACCGAGCAAGGCCTAGAATGATTGATTTCATTTAACGACTGGTGTATAGGCTTTAGAGTAACTATGTACCGTTGATGTTACAAATATCGATATTTTTACAGAGGTTTATTCTGTACGATTAAGATGTTTAATGACGAATGAGCAAGATCGATTTATACTTAACGGGTGTGATTAAATACAGAATGATTTATGTTATTTTAATATTACTAGCGTGTAAACTATATTAAAGATGTAACGATACTGGAATAAAGCACTTGTTTCCAATTTAGGATTTTTATACCGAATGGAATAATTATAGGGCAAGGTAATCGGAATGTATTTCTCTATATCGAAATCGGTGCATCGATCATGCCACGCTAATTCCACTAAACCGATCCTTGAAATATATTCTCAAAGTAACATATACTTTTTAATATAGTATACCCTATATCAGAAGGAAGATGACAAAGAACCATATGTTTCCGAAGAAACCGAACCACTTCAAAATTATGGCAACACTTGGATAGGCTGCTTTTGAATGAAATTCCACAATTCATCGATTTAATTACTAAACTTATGAGCCACACTGCTGCGAAGGATTTCATGCCAAAAGCTGTCGCTATTTACCAAAGTCGGAGGACATTGAAGATGCTATTTTGCCATTATCGAACAAGTATCTTTGGAAGGAAAGTATGCTTTACATTCAATTTTCCCATTCTTTCCCCTGAATTAAAACAGGAGAAAGACAAGTGACCGAACAGGTTAAGTGTCCCAAAATGAATCCAACTTGCGAATCTAACACAGCTCGTGCAAACCCGAATGCGAATCCTAGCAGAAGAAACAATTAGCGAATTTCGCGTTGAAGTTTAGTCGCAAGAGCTGCGAGCCGAGCGAGTTTAACATCCAAAGCTGTGTGTGTCAGAGATGTGGTTGACCTGCCCTCACTCACCATTTTACCAGCCATTGCTGCCACCACAGCGGATTAGAAATTGCAAACCGACAATCGCGAACGACACAGTACCCGCAATGGGATAATTTCGCTGGATCTCGCGAAAGTCGATTCCTTTCGAGCGCCGTTATGAGAGGATTTTTTTTCCCCATTTCGGGCACTGCCTATGGTAACTTGGTTAGGTACATCGCGGCACATAAAAACCTCCTCGCAGGAGCTCTAACCGGGCCAGGGGCTGTCAATGTCGAGGATATTGATGAATAATCGATGTTTTCGACGAAATTAGCTAGAAAACGATCGGTAATAGGCAATTTGTAGGTGAATAATGTAAGATGCCGTCCGGCGTACGTTCCCTACTCCTAGCCCTTTGAGAGCGATTCTTTCACGTTTCCGCGACATTTTTGGGGCGAATCGCCTTCCAGACGATTCTCCGGTCGTTAGGTTATCTCGAACACAGCAACGAAGCGTCTCTTACCTTAATATGACAGGAATACAGAAGCTCACTTCAAACTTGGATGTAAACACAAGCATTTTTCGAGGTAACCGACACCAGGGCAGCTTAAGTAATCAACGTGAAAACACTCGTTACATCGCGAACAACGTTATTCCACTCTCCCGGGTTTAATTAAGTCGTTAGATACCGCAATAAATATAAGAATTGGCGATCTCCTCGGAAAACATCCATCGAAAACTAAAGATGGCAGCCATTCTTCTGTACAAAACAAAGGTTCACATCCACGGACTCCCGAGCGACGAAGCCTCGAACCCAGATCGCTTCCGGCGCTGCGGTCGAGGCACGATTTTCAAACGCAGCAAGTTCGGCTGAAATTTGTCTTGCGAGCGGATTTAGGATTGAATTCACTTGACGTAATCGACGCGATTCCAAAATTCAGATGGTTAAGATACCGTTCCGTTGTACCGATGTGTCGAGAAGTGTAACTCTTGAATCTGGGAATGCGATTTAAAGCCGCGCGAACGAGGAATCGCGCTCGCAGGAAAAATCGAACTATCGCGAACGCTCGGGTGCCATCTTGCGCGAGAAAGTGGAACCGCGCTTCCAGTGCCAACTTCAAGGCAAATGGAATCTAACCCCTCTTTGACGGTGACTTTGAAGGGATGACATTTTGTGCAGTTATTGGAAGAATAATTTCAAGGGTTATGATATAAGGAGAATTTATTCATTGGCTTAAGGTACAGTCGCTTGTTAAGAGTAAGTTTTTTGAACTATTGAGGATTTTCGGGACACTCGACAGATCGCTGTACGGATTTTAAGCGGAACGGTTGGCAATGCTTGTAGCTTCCCAACTTCGTGCGAGACAAAACTTCTGCGATCGACTGTTGCTTAGGGTATTGATTTCTTGCACATACATATAGGTTTTCGCAAAAGCACGGATGGAGACTAGCTGAAACGCGTAAAGGCATGGGACGCACATTACATGTCGGTGTGTAACAGTGTATACGGATAATTAAACGACAGGTACAGTTAACTAGACCAAGCACCGTCACTTTCTCTACGGTCCTTTCAGACTGATCATTTCTCTTTTTCGTGCTTCAAAGATAGAATGGATAAAACTAACGAAAAAATCGAAGTATAGAATACTGCCTGACAGGAAAACAATAATTAAATGGTGAAACCCGTAAATCTAAAAACGGATTTAATAGGTAGTAATTAATAATAATTTAATAAAAAAAATAGACTCGAGATCACGAACTACACACAGAACTGTGATACATATTTACCGTTTCGTTATTCTAAAACAATTGTATTGACATTGATATTCCGTTTCCTGTAATTACTACAGAATTTTTGTATTATAATTATTGCAACAGTTTTATTTTATACTCATTCCAGATTATGTCCTTCAATTTTTGTCGTATATCAGATTTGTAAATACTTTCCTTATGAATTGAATACATATGATAGGGAATTATATTTTATACATTTTTCTTTCAGTATACGGCAATGTCTGATGTGGATCCACAGTTGAAAAGACTATTACTACCTGCTGAGGAAACTTTGTTTGAACAGATTTTGAGAATAGGTCTTTATCTAGGAGCTGTATTTCAAGTGGCTTGTATATTAGCAATAGTGCTCTATCAGTCAGGACCTAACGATGGTGTTGCAGCTTTGAAGGTATAAAAATATTTTCTTCTTAAAAAATACACGTGCAAATGAAATATATCTTATAGGATGATCCAAGCGATGTGGAATGTTCGGAAAACAGTCCTCAGGTGACCCCTAGAAGACCTCACCGGCCTCGCAAACAAGAAAAGAAGAAAAGACGTTAATTTCTCATTACATTCCTTTAGACTAATCAGTATTATCACTAGCTGGAATATTTACAGATGTTTCTAACTTATTTCCATCAAATATTTATTACCTAGGATAATTCATACACGAAACACTGGTTAATAAAATGAACTTAAAGAAATTCTTTCAATTTATTGAATCTAAAATACTTCATTTTGTGCAATTAAAATAATATCTGTGATGTGTTACAAAATCAAATAAACCTTAAATGTATGCACATGTAAGGATTTTCACATTTTTTGTCATTAAGGTGATACTTTATAAGTATTGCTTGATGAGCTTTCCATGAAAATTGAATCAGTTATGTGTTCATAACTGACCAATCACAAGAATTTCTCTTGACGAAGCTAAACTATTTATTCTCCTTTTGGTTAATGAAAACGAACCATTATTATGCTACATTTTATAACACACCCCAGAAAAATGTACATACTTCTGAGGAGCTTCGAATAAATGCGACACATAACCATGATCATGAAATGAACAAGAGGTTGACTAACATACTGTTATGTAAAGCAAGGAGTATCACACCAGCGTTCGTCATGTTTGTCAGCAGAGATGAGTTGGGAGATTGCTTACGGGCAGGATCGTGCGATCGCATCCTGTGCTGCCCTCTGGTTTCGTACGTTAGCTTTCACCGTTTTTGCCCCCAAGGGCGGCGCAACGAATTTCTGATAGGAGCTCGCGCACTCGCGATGGCGGTACCATCTACCAATCNCACGATCCTGCCCGTGAGCAATCTCCCAACTCATCTCTGTTTGTCAGTTCCAACTACAAGTTCCAAAGAATATTGTCACCTGTGTCAGTTTGCGTTTCATGGTTTATTGGAAAATTCGGACATTGAAAATTATTACTGACTGTAAACGTTACAATGTGTTAAAATATTCTGTGAGATCAAAAACATCACTGACACAATCGCCAAACAAGAAATTCAACCAAAATCCTTTAAACATGCCGTTGTCTATGCAAGTTACAGGTCGATCTAACCTCGTTGACAGAATGCAACGTGCAGATCTTTCTACAAAACTTGATCAGATAAATCAAAAAGACGGGAAATCTGCAAAACTTGGATGTCATGTCAATTATCTTGATGTCCCAGTCAAGTCTGAAAGTGACAAAAAGGAATACAGGTATTTTTTTGTTAATTACAGTAAAAATGTGTTTATGTTAGATTTAATAAGTACGTTCTAAACTTTGTGTATGGGATGTTTTAAATGCTTCCAGAGTTATCAAGTTGGAGAATGGATTAACTGCATTGCTGATTGCCGATTTACAATTTGCCCCATCTGCTACGCAGGAAGAAGATGACGGTAGCTGTATGTATTCATATTTAGTCAAATAATGTAAATTACATTAGATGGATTTTATAAATTCTCTATACAATATTTATCATATTCAATTTCATATATTTTGGATGATACATAACAAACTAATGTTTCATTTCTGTGATAATAGCTGAAGGATCATCCTCTGAATATAGCAGCAGTAGTGAAGAAGAAACTGAAGAAGACGAGGAAGAAGACAACCATATTCGTGAAAGAGATGCCAAGTCAATTGGATCTAAGGAACCTAAAAGAGATGAAAAAATGGTACAAAATCTGTTTGTTTGGCAATGTTTGTGTAGAAGTAAAAAATGATTAGAATCTGCTTATTTCAGGCAGCATGTGGTTTATGTGTAGGTGTAGGCACCTTCAGTGATCCACCAGAAATTCCAGGCATGGCTCACTTCTTGGAACATATGTTATTTTTGGGTTCTGAGAAGTATCCAGAGGTATATTTAATATAATTAATTAGCATAGTTAATCAGAGCATATATTCCATCGAATTATTAACGAAGAATTGTTTATCTGGTACAGGAAAATGATTTTGATGCATTCATTAAAAAACATGGTGGCTCAGATAATGCTTATACGAGCTGTGAGCATACTATTTACCATTTTGAAATTCAAGAAAAACACCTCTTTCCAGCATTAGATCGCTTCGCTCAGTTTTTTATTAGTCCTCTCATGAAAAGAGATGCCATTACACGTGAAAGAGAGGCAATTGAAAGCGGTACGAATAGAATCTATATTGTCTCTAAAATATTTAAAAATACTTTTTTAATCCCAATGATGGTTATTGCAGAATTCAAGTTGGCTTTACCATCTGATCCTAATCGTGCTGAGCAATTGCTTTGTAGTTTTGCTCAACCAGGGCATCCAGTAACTAAATTCTCATGGGGAAATTTAATAACATTGCGAGATAATGTTACAGATGATAAATTATATGAAGAGTTGCATAATTTTAAAGAACGTCACTACAGTGCACACAGAATGACCTTGGCATTACAGGTAAATTTATCTGATACCTTATGAATAGGACATGTTTAAATTAGTATATTCTTTTTAATATATTATTTTATTCATTTTGCAGGCTCAATTACCATTAGATACTTTAGAGCAATACGTGAAAGAATGTTTTAATAATGTGCCGAGTAACAATTTACCACCACATGATTTTTCTAAGTTTATAGGACCACAGTCATTTGATACGCCAAGTTTTAAAAGAATGTATAAAATCAAGCCTATTAGCGATGTGTGTCAGGTTAGTATATATACTTTTATACTGTTGAAGATTTAATAATGGTATGTTAATGAAAAACTGGTATGGCTAATGAAAAACATGGTACATAATTTCTCATTGTTAATTTTATTTAGCTGGAATTGACATGGGCCTTGCCACCACTTCATCACTTATATAAAAGCAAACCTCAGCATTATTTAGGTTGGCTTACAGGCCATGAAGGCAAAGGAAGTTTAAGTAGTTATCTTCGCAAAAAGATGTGGGTTCTGAATTTTGATTCTGGCACTGATGATACTGGTTTTGATCATAGTTCAATGTGTGCGCTATTCAGTATGAATATTCATTTAACGGACAATGGGTATGAGCATTTAAAGGAAATTATTGATGCAGTCTTTGCTTATATTAAAATGCTGCAAAAGGAGGGTCCTCAAGAAACGATATTTAATGAAATTCAGCAGATTGGAGAAACTAACTTTAGGTAACAAGCTTATGTGATTATTTAATTAGAAATTAAATGCTCAATATATAGTAAACTTCTTCAATTTGCTACTTCATCACGTGTATTTACTGTGAAAATGTAAGTATGAATGCAGAAAATATTGTTCTAACTACTTAAGATTTACTTTATTGCTGTCTTAGATTTATGAATGAACAGGAACCAGATTCAAATGTTCAGGATTTATGTGAAAATATGCACTTCTTTCCCCCTTCTGATTATATTACGGGAAGTGAACTTTATTTCGAATATAATCCAGCTTGTATAAAAGAATGTTTAGACTACCTGACGCCAGAGAATGTAAACATTATTATAATGGATAAGAGATTGAAGGATGATGAATTACCAAAAGTAGAACCATGGTTTGGAACTCAATATGGTGACATGGATATACCCCCAGAATGGATATTGGATTGGAAAGCCATCGAACCCTTGCCAGAATTTCACTTGCCCGAACCAAATGTATTTGTTACTTATGATTTTACCCGTTTTCCCATTCCCGAAGACGTGTCCAAATATCCAGTTAAAATATTAGAAGATTCTATATGTGAGCTCTGGTACCGACCAGATACTTATTTTGGTCGTCCAGAATGTTATATGCGTTTTTATTTTATAATTCCAATGGCCTTGGCAACGCCGCAAAGGTAAGATGCACCCTGTATGTCTGAATGACGCATTATTAATTTTAAACTATTGTTTCAGCGCGGCAATGTTGGACTTGTATGTGAAAATATTGTTGCATTTATTAGCTGAAGAATTATATCCGGCGAATGTTGCAGATTTATATCACAATGTTTCTGTGGATGATAAAGGCTTATCTGTAAGTGTTGATGGGTACAACGAAAAGTTGCCTGTAAGTATTTGGAAATGTCATTATCTTATTAATTAAACTTATACTTCTGGTTGTCTATGCACTGACAATATTTATTATACTATATATTGGCATTTTTAGTTGTTGTTGACTGCAATAACTAACTATATTGCTGATTGTTCAAAATTAGTTACCGAAGAATTATTTGAAATAATGAAAAAAGAGCAGCTGAAGGGCTACTACAATACTTTCATAAATGGGGAAGAATTACTCAGGTTTGAAATTCTTAATGTCAATGTACACTTTACCGATAAAGTTTAGTTTTAGACGAATTACTATTTGAGAAATACATTTCAGCGATGTGAGGTTTTCTATATTAATGCTTTCCAATTGGACGTCCTATGATAAACACGCGGCGGTGACTGGTGTCGATTTCCGACAGTTTCAAACTTTTGCTAAACACCTCATGGATCACGTCTATATTCAAGCTTTGGTCCAGGGTAACATTACCGAAGCAGATGTCATCAAGCATGGCCGTAACTGCATAGAAATTTTGAAATGTGGACCCCTGGTGCCAAATTCTTTACCTCACACACGTGTTAATCAAATACCACTGGGACAGCACTGTTGCCGAGTGAAGAATTTTAATTCAATGGATGTTAACTCAATAGTGACAAATTACTATCAAAGTGGACCAGCTGATATCAGAACGAGTATTATTATTGACCTTATTTTAGTAAGTATATATCTTTATTCAAATTTGATGATGTATGTATTTAGTTTATAACAAACAAATTCATTGATTCGGTTGTTATTAATATTAACGCATCATTACTTACAGTAACGGTATTGCTATAAGAGTAGCAATAATTATTTCTTCATTTTCAGATGATTATGGAGGAGCCTTTATTCAATCAGCTCAGAACGCAAGAGCAACTTGGCTACGATGTATCTTGTACACTAAGGGACACCTTCGGCATACTTGGTTATTCAATTACAGTTTGTACTCCGGTTGAAAAATTCTCAACCGACCATGTTGACGAGAGAATTGAGATATTTTTGAAGTCATTTCTTGAAAAGTTAAATGATATGCCAGCAAAGGAATTTGAAGATCTGAAAAAAGCATTAGCAAAATTAAAACAATGTGTCGATGTCCAATTGAAACAGGAGGTGGACCGAAATTGGGGTGAAATTAAGAGTAGAAATTACATGTTCGGCAAGCTGGATAAAGAATTGGCTGCAATAAAGGAGGTTACCCTTGAAGAATTGAAGACATGGATGCAACGGCATGTAACGAGTGGGCAAAATCTGAGAAAGTTGAGCATTCAAATAGTGGGAACTGCTTCTAAAAAAACGGCTGAGAAAATTGATGATGTGATTCAGACTGACGTTAACTCGGGTAAATTGATTTTTTCTTTATACGTTGCATGAATTTGTTTTCATATACAGTGGTCACTTATTCCTTCAAAAATCATAAAAATGCAATTAAAAGTTAAGTTGAATACAATATTCATTTCAGGTGATTCAAGTATTAAGGCGAATGATCGCATAAAGTATGAACTACAATTCTTAACGAATAAAATCAATCGACAAGAAAATCAAAAAGATGTATACTACATTAACAACATCCAAGATTTTAAGGATAGCCTTTTCGTATATCCTGTCAGCCGTCTTACATCATGATAATGTACATTTATATTGTACTTTCTGCTTGCTTCACGTGTGCCGTATAAAGAAAAAAAAAACTACATCGCAGTCCAATACATGTATTCTGTTATTTATTTGTAAGTGAAACGTGTATTTATTACCGCTTGTATTGCTTGTTGACTGTTATACATTTAATAAGATCGTCGTGAAAGTCTGCGTAAAGGTCTAAATTATGAATTTCAACAGAATTTCGAGCCAAGTACATATGCATGGGTGAATCCCATATGCACATGTGAACATTCACAATGTGTTAACAGAATGTTGAGTATATTGCCATGGTGATATGCGTAATTTTTATCACCCCAAACACCCGCACAGTAAATTCATTTTATCATATTTTTGGACTTAATCATGACTACGTATGTTTGTAAACTGTATCTCTAAATATATTTGGCATAAATTGATTCACATTGTACATATACTTTTGGGGCAACATTATCTATTGGTTCGATAAAATGTGCACTTATAACATTTTTACTTTGATGAAAAATTGTACGATATTAGTTGGAAATTTGTTACAGATTCATAAGGGATTAATTATGGCTTGAATAATTATAAACTAGATCATTAAGAAGTCAAGAATATATGATACTTTTTTTATTAATAATAAAATCATAATTGGGTGCATAATAATTATTACGTTTTGCCTTAATTTCTCTATGAAATCTTGCATCAGTATTACTTTTCGAGTGAAATTAATGAAATAAAACCTGTAAGTATCGGTCGAATGAAACTAAAAACAAAACAAAAAGAACATGTAACTGCATATTTTGAAATGTTTTGAGGTGCATCTAAAGAACTGAGTTTTAACAGGTTTTAATCTTGTAATAACTAGCGATTGTGTATATCACTCTAGAACCAAGTGCCCTAGTTACGTTTGGTTGGCATGAAGAAACTGAAAGAACCAAGATGTCTGCAAAAGTTGGCACAATGGTCCCTGATATCAAAAAAGTTCCACTTCAGATTTCACCGCATTTACAAACGTACGATTGCCGAATGATCATAAATAATTGCGATATGAATGCAGTAACTGACTATAAGCAAAGAATACAGATGTCTCTCTGAATTCTTTGCTATAAGTATTCAATAATTATCTTAGAATTTTCAAATTTACAACTGTTTAAATTAGAAAGTGGAATCGTAGTTCCACGTGACATTCCCCTCTACCGGTTTAACATTTTGGCGTAAACCGCAAAAATTTTCGCGTGCAGTTTTCCTTATTGGCAAAAGCGGTGAATCACGACGAATGCGTGGCACAATGTAACGGGAATTTGCCTGATCAGTCGACAGGAATCTCTCCGGATCCTTCCATACCCGGCAGTACCGGCTCACCCGGCACGAATTGTATTGGCTACTCGGCTTGCAATTACTTGTCAAATACAAGGTATTCGTTTCCTTTAAGTAATCACTATTTACGAGTAACAAGGTAAATTTATAAAAATGCTTGAAATATTATTCACTCCTAAATTGTTATTAGATGGAACTCGATGGAAGAAATCGCTTCGAGCCTGATGCTAGACAAAATAATGGTATCCACTATTTGGATCCACCTATTAAATCAGAATCTGATAAAAAAGAATATAGGTATGAATCTTCCAAGATGAGATTGTTAAGCCGTAATGTATTAATTCATTTAATCTATGAATTTTCAAATTTCCCGATATTGAAGATTGAAAAATTAATTTATGCGAAATTTCATGCCTATTCATGTTAACTGAAATAAGTTAATGAGGGTTTCAGAATTACCGTGTTTTTAATTAATTCCTTATTGTTATTTTGTGCTTTGTTACTGACATCAATAATGAAATGTTTTTAGAGTTATCAAATTGGCAAATGGATTAACTGCGTTGCTCATCTCAGATTTTTGTTTAAAGTCTAACTTTGATGCAGAAGGTAATTTAAAATATTATACCAATGTAATAATAGTAATAATTGTACGATTCAGAAAAAATTATGTAGTTATATGTAGTGTAATTTAAATTATTTTAAAAATGTTACTTGCATTTTATTATAATTAGATCAATTAATGTTGGATTACTTTAAAGGAAAACCGCAAACAGGCGATATTGCTGGAAATTATGTTAATTTCTTAAACCATGAGTCTTGGCAGGAAGAAGAAAAACTGGTATATCAAAATTATAAGTACATTAAAAATTCCTTATGATTTACTATTATTTAGTTCTTTAAAAATATAAATTTGATTAGGCTAGTTGTTCTTTAACGCTGGATGTTGGAAACTTCTCTGATCCGGAAGAAGTTTATGGCTTGGCTCTTTGTTTGAAGCATATGATCGTCGCAGGATCTGAGAAGTACCCACAGGTATTTTTATAACCTACAAACTGAAAAGATTTGTGCAAATACTATTTGAACGTTTATATTATAAAAGGCTTTTAATTTTTTTAGGAAAATGATTTTGATGAATTTGTTAAAACGTTTGATGGTTTTCAATGTGCTATAGCAGAGGGTGATCATACCACGTTCTTCTTTGAGATAAAAGAAGATTACTTACTCCCTGCCGTGGACCGTTTCACACAACTTTTTATTAATCCTCTCTTAAAGAGAAATGCATTTAACAAAATAAAACAAGCTGCAGCCAATGGTATGTTTACTGAAGAAAATAAAACTCTTGACTCATTTAATAATGATTATATGTAGAATTTCAGTTGAATGAAGGAATTGATTGCAATCGTAAACATATGCTGTTGGGAAGTCTACTTAAGCCTGGTCATCCTGCTTCACGATTTTTGGGGGGCAACTTAAAAATAATACAAAATTATATTACGGATGATAAATTATTCGAGGTACTATATATCTTTTATAAACGATATTACAGTGCACATAGAATGACAGTGGCAATACAAGTAAGTTTAAATATGCTTACTTATATGTTGTGAGCATGTAATTTACTAAAGTTTATGCAAATCTCTAATGAAAATTATAAATAAGATGTATAGTAAGCAGTTTTTAATACTCCAAATTGCAAATAGAAATGAATAGATCTTTTATGGTATAAGTGTAGAAACGGATGATAAAATGTCATTGGTGTTTTTTTTGTACTACTAAAGTGTAAACAGAATCTCATTTTCAAAAATAAATAATATCTTATTTATAAATATAACGATAAATTGTTGCAAGTAGATACCATTCAATTTTATCTATAATGCATTTCTCATCTGTAGATTAATGAAATGTTGGTTTACTGAAGGTTTCTTTACATTTTTGGATAGGCTCAATTTTGTTTAGATGTATTGGAAACATACGTCAAGGATTATTTTTCGGCAATTCCAAATAATGGACTGCTGCCCGATGATCTTTCTCGATTTGACTGTGGTGTGACTGCCTTTGATATTGAGAAGTTTCGAAAAATCTATAAAATGAAACCTGTTGACAATACTTGTGAGGTAAACCTTTAATACTCTGCTTTTCTTAATATTTCCATTTAACGTTGTTTTGAATTTAGTAACCAGTGTTATTTTTATAGGTTATGCTTTCATGGATAATGCCTCCTGAGTTTAGACATCGCAATGATAAAGTTCATAGATACGCTGCATGGATTTTGGGACATGAAGGTAAAGGCAGTTTAGCCAATTATTTTCGTAAAAAACTCTGGTGCTTGGAACTGAGCGCTGGAATTAAAGGATCCAGTTTCGAAAGCAATAGCTTTTATTCTTTATTCAATATCAGTGTGACTTTAACCGATGAAGGCCGGAAGCATTTAAGGGAAATCTTGGATTCTATATTTTCTTATATCAATTTATTACATAGAAAAAATCCATGCAAATCACTGTACGATGAAATAAAACGAACAATGGATTTCGAGTTCAGGTAATTGAAATTAATTTTCAAAATATTTTCATATTCTATACATATATAAAGCCTTAAATATAGTATATAATATGCATATGCCTTCATAATGGAACCTACGTAGTAAATTTCAATTTTTTTCAATTTTCTATTCACAGATTCGTTGATGAACTGCCTGTCAACGTAAATACATATTTCCTTTCCTGGGGAATGCAAAAATATTCTAAATCAACTGATTATGTCATTGGCAAATATTTATGTCCCGAGTTTAACCAACAAGTAATTAAAGACTATTTGCAAAATATCACTCCAGACAATGTTAACATTATGATTGCTGATAAACAATTTGACGATGCTATGTTGAAAAATGTTGAACCTCGGCTCCGAACGAAATATATTTGCGAAGAAATACCTACAGAGTGGGTGGACCGATGGAGAACAATAGAGCCTTATGCCGAATTTCATTTACCAGAACCGAATACTTTTCTACCAGACGATTTCTCTTTGATTTCACCCACTACAGATATTTTCAAATATCCCGTCGAAATTTACCACGACGAGATAGCTGAAATTTGGTATAAACCAGATTACAAATACAAACGTCCTCAATGTTACATGAATGTTTTGCTTATCTTCGAATGTGCATTTGTTTCGCCAAAACAGTAAGTATTTCCAGAATTTTGGTTAATCAATTAAATCGCTATGTTTACACGTTTTTAACATATTAGTGCAGTTGTGTTGGACGTATTAATTCCTGTTCTGAAGCATTTACTCGCAGAGCAATTGTATCCTGCTAGCTTGGCGAAACTTAATCACTCTATCGATGTGGGTTCAAGAAGCATGACCATAAAAGTTAATGGATTTAATCAAAAAGTGCCGGTGAGTAGTACATCACCATTAAAATTAAATTATTTTCAATTTTGAATATGCAATACAACCATTATGAACTTCAAAACAGTTGTGCTAAAAAATTAAGAAAAGGGTGCAATTAAATCTTGCAAAGCATTGACATTTGATGTTTGTATTTAATAAAAATTGATCATTATTCGTACTTAACATTGCTAATTCACTGAGGATGTTTTCAGAGCTTACTACATATTATACTGAAATATCTGGTAGACCTGCCCAATTTGGTAACAGAAGAATTATTTAACAGCAAAAAAGCAACAAAACTGAAGGAGTATCGAGATCACTTTATATTGCCATCGAATTTAATATGGTGCTTATTATAAAATAATTATTTTCACTGACTTTAAAAAAACAATGAGATTCCACCCGAATTTCATAGTTTCTATAATATTATAGAATACATTTAGAACATATGTTCCAGGGATGTGCATAAGTCTATCACAGTGATGACAAATTGGACAACCGTTGACAAGCATGCAGTTCTAAGTACACTTGAGTTTGACGAATTTAAATTTCTTGCATCTATGTATCTGAGTCGAGCTAGTATTCGTTTCCTTGCACAAGGGAATATTCTTGAAAATGAGGTAATTGAATGTGGTAAGAAGTGTCTTGGGATTTTGAATTGTCGACCTGCATTGCGGAGCGCATTTCCACAGCAAAGAAACGTTCAACTGCCTCCAGGTCAATGGTTATGTAAAGTAAAAAACATCGATCCTAGTGTAACAATGTCGGCTGTAATGAATTACTATCAAGTGGGTTTCACAGATCAAGAATTAAGACTCAAGATTGAACTGTTAACAGTAAGTACCATGCACGATCGCCTAAGATATTACCGATCGAGATTTTACCATTTGTTCAAAATAATTGAAATCGTTAAGACATGGATTAACGAATTACAAATAGATACATTTAAATGTTTTTGCAGTTTATTATGAAACAACAAAAGTTTGACAAATTGAGGATACAGCATCAATTGGGTAATGGTGGGATGTACGAGTTTCAACTATCACTTAATGTTATTGGTTTGATAATTAATATTGTGAAGAATACTGATAAGTTCACAACTGAAAACATAGATGAAAATATAGACGCCTTTCTAAAGTCATTTCTTGAAGCTTTAGAGAAAATGTCAGAGGAGGAATTCAGGGACTTTCAAGATTCTCTAATCAAAAACGATAAATTGAGTGCCGAGTTTACTTTGTCGGACGAAGTCAGCAAAAATTGGGTCGAGATTGTTAACTCGTACTTCAATTTTGATGCATATGAGAAAGAGATTGATGATATTAAAAAATTAACGTTGGAAGATGTTAAGGAATGTATGAAGAATTATTTCATTAACGGACCGAATATGCGGAAACTGAGTATTCATGTGATAGGAGCCACAAAAAGCGACTTGGGCGAAGTTGAAGAAATCACGGAAGATATTAAATCATTTGCAGTGACAGAAACGGAAGTCGAAAAGTTAGAAAAATTAAAATCGAATTTGGGTGAGTAGTCAAAGTAAATTCAATATTAAAAACTGCTATGCCGAGATATTCTTTCTTCGTGGTTCAACCGTTCATGTTTGTGTTTCCAGAAAACGTGTATCAAGAGCGAGTTAAATCTTTTCTCGACCGTAATCTAAAGTTGGATGAGAACGATAGTGCAAATTCTGGAGTGCGTTATATTGTTGACGTAGAACACTTCAAACACACCCTTCCTCTATACCCTATACATTTTCCTGAATCATAGCAGCGATTTTGGATGTATTTGCTTTAAATGCTTTTATATTACATGACATTGACAGGAACAGCAGCATCAATAACAATCACATAATAAATAGCATTTATTATTGAAAATGTTAAGGTAATTTAAACACTTAGTTGACATTACTTTTTATTTTGTAAGGATTATTTTATTTTGAAATTATTTTTCTAGATTGTAATAAACATTAGGAACTAGTTTTGAGTATAACATACATCAATTGTTGAGATTTAAATGAATAATCTATATTTTCTTATACACATAGTATTTTAAAGAAATTGCGATGCTGAAAAAGCTACTTTCATCTGAAGTAAAAAACATTATCCCTGTATAAGGTCTACTTTTATAATAATAAATAATCTCATAAGCACAAATGAAAATCTTTATTTTCACAAAAGCAAGCAAATGTAATTCCAAATCGTTTTCTATTTTTGTTCAACATATAAAAATACTCTTATTATATTTACTTTAATTATTCAGATATTCTGCATAATTCTTTACTATGGTTAACTTATGTTTAATGCTTATCAGCGATAATGTACAAAAGAGGTTCCTTACATTGTGAGTGGAAAGATACATCGTTCAAAAAAAGGATCATACAGAATGTCTGATATCCAAGATCATAAGGAAATTTTTTTTATAATATATAATATCCTTTTTTATGGTATCCGAAAGAAAATCAAATGCAATTTTTCTTTTTACAATTATGCTCCAATCTTTTCGATCTCGTCTGCATCTTCTGCGTCTAAGTAGTATATTTTTTTGCCAAAATGTTTTTCTATGTCTTTGCAAATCTGCATTGCATGTGGGGAATCTATCAGATTAATCGCTATTCCCGATTTTCCGAATCTTCCCGTCCTTCCAATTCTGTGCAGGTAAGTTTCACAATCTGCTTGACGATTCTGATCCATTGGTAGATCGAAGTTAACTACTATTGTTACTTGTTCCACATCGATACCTGTTCAGAATAGTTGAAACGCAACACATTTTACATTTACCTGAATACAGTCATGCACTTATATTAACATCAATAATGTTATATTTTATGTTTGAGATGTATAATGGATACTTGAAATGTTTTAATCATCGAAGAGTTATTAATTATCTACTAACCTCTTGCTAAAACGTTTGTTGTAATTAAAACCTTTTCGAGGCCAGCTCTGAACCTGTCTAACACAGCAATTCTCTGTTCAACTGTTAAATCACCAGACAGTACGGCTACTGCATGTCCATCCTTCGTCATCTTCTCTGACAACCAGTTAGCAGTTTTTCTTGTCTGTATTGAAAAATACATTTTGATACGAGGTAATGAAATTTGGAAAATTAAGTAACTTCTCAAGAATAGTATGCGATTCAATGACATTGAAATAAACATTAACTTACATGACAAAAGATAATAGCTTGCCCTATAGTAATGACACCATAAATATTAGTAATTGCTGTATATTTTTCGTCTTCATTTTTGCATTTAACGTAGTACTGTTTGATGTTGTCTAAACTCTCTTCTTCTTTTAACAGACGGATTATTAGAGGATTGCTAACAATTATTTCTGCAAATTCCATAACAGCACTTTCATACGTAGCTGAGAAGAACATCATTTGACATTTCCGGGGCAGCATTCTGCAATATTGAGAATTAACATATTACTAATCCATATGAGTGAAAAGCCCGTGAAGAGTTTAAATTTATACTGAAGTCTTACTTATGAATGCGAATGCATTGATCCTGATGACCTTGTGTGGCAATCATAACATCTGCTTCATCAAGAACAAAAACTGAGATCTTACTTAGATCAAAGAAACGAAATTTAAGTGCCCAATCCAGAACTTTTCCTGGTGTTCCGATTATTATATGATCTGTGAGTTTTGTCCCTCTTGGTACTGAAAGAATGGTAACATATAATACCAACGTATAAGTCACCATTTTAATGTATTGCTTCGTATTTAATACTTAATATATTTACATTCCTCTCCTCTGACGGCATATTTTAACTTTATTTCTGGGCAGAATTGTGACATTTTGGCTGCCACTTCTCCAGTTTGTATAGCTAATTCATAAGTAGGTGATAAGCAGAGAACTTGAGGATAATCCTTATTACAATCTACTCTGCTTAACATGGCAAGTACAAAAGCCGCTGTTTTTCCAGTTCCAGACTGAGATTGTGCTATCATATTTTGGGGTCTAATAAAATAGACATTACAATCTCATTATTTGGTAAAAGATTTCAATATTTATAAAACACATATACTAACGGATCAGCGAGTAAAGTAGGTAATGCAGTTTCTTGAATTTTTGAAGGTGTATTAAAACCCATTGCATACACTCCTTTGAGCAGTGCTGGTTTACTAAAAAGGTATAAATTCACATACAAATATGAAAAACCAGTGTTATTATAATTCTTTGGGTTAATTTAACATTAATATGTAACATTAATATATGCCAAGATTAACTTATATATAATTCATAATTATTTTTCCAATCACATAAAGTAGCCCTTTTAAAAGAGTTTTCCCTAAAAATAACTTATTCTTCCTTAATGGTTTCAGAAAGAAAAATAAAGCAACACGTGTGTAATAATTTATGTTTTTGGTGTACTTACAGATGAAGTGCTTCGAAAGATTTTATACTATATAATGGAGAAGTAGGGTCTTTCCGCTGTATCTCTAAGTCCTTTGTAGTTTCTACTAAGCCTTTGCGTATTATCTTTTGTAATAGGGACTTCTCTGCAGGGGAAATTTGTTCTTCGGTATCGCTGTTTTTTTCTTCTTTAGCAGATGCAGGTGTGTTTCCTGCATTCTGTGTATTTCCTGTGCTTTGTACATTTCCTTCACTCTGTGCACTTCCAGTACTCGGTGTATTTCCTGTACTTGGTGTACTTGATTCAGTTGACTTAGTAATATTCAATTGCGTAACCTAAACACATTGTTAATCATTCCAGGTACCTATCGTACAAGTCAATACTTTCCTGCGCATCCTTCGAGAAGAGTAAAGAATTATCTGGTTTAACATGGAACATAAATCTTGCCTCGAATAACTTAAGAAGAATTTATCTGATCAGAGATATCTCCGGCAAGTTGCAATTATGAGAAATTCTAGTGAAGAGATAGAAACAAAAAGAAAGTGAATCGCTACGATTGTGTAAGGAACATAACATATCCCGAATTTATTTATAAGAATCATGAAGTGAGAAACATATTGAGGTTAACCGGTTGTCTTTAACAGTGGATCTACCTGTGAGGATAATTTCTCCTGTTCGTCGGTACACTTAGCCCAATCAATTTTCGTCGAGGCCATTCTTCTAATTCAATTGATGCTCCCTCAGGCTAAATCGTTAATCACTGTAAAAATTGATAGTTTATAAAGACTACCAAAGAAACAACTTAGTTAGTTAGTTATTGCTTATGGCTCCAGAGTCTATCTAAGTCTATCAAGCAGACTCTATTGATGCCAACTTATTTTCTGACAGGGTTCTATGCCCTGTTCCGTTTATGCCTCGTTACTTTTGGAGGTTGAGTTGGTACTGTGTATCGCTACTGGGTATCAGAGATGAGCTGGGTATTAAATTTCTATGTTGTATTTTTTGGCTATTGCGACGAGGGTTCTGAATATTTTTTCGTTGACTGTTTTTAAGATATGTCTAACATCCATGTTTATGTCTGGAGTTATTTTGCATAGTTTAAGAATAAGTTCATTAGTTCCATCAGAGATGAGTTGGGAGATTGCTCACGGACTGGGTCGGTCAAGCACATTCTGTGCTGCCCTCAGCAGTGGATGCGGTTGGCTGACGTACTTGCCACCTGATCCCCCAGTGGCGCCCCTAATCAGGGATCCTCTTCATCTCTCTGTCTCAAGTCATCTCTGTCATAACAAACATCCTTTAATATCTTTTAACACCTTTCATCAACTACTCCAGCAAGCTTTGCGGCGATGACCTACTAGAGATGTTCGATTCTCTTAGAAGAATCGATTCTTGAATCGATTCTGAATCGGATCATGAAGAATCGATTCTCTTAAAAATCGGAATCCAAAGAATCGATTCTGCAATAATCGATCCAAAAAATCGGAAATTTTTTATATATAATTAACACAAATTTAATTAATACATTTTTACGTGTCGAAAGCCATCCATGAAAATGAAATGACTGTTATATAAAAAAACTAAACAATTATTAGCAGTTTATATAGCAATTATATGTCTTCTCTAGCTTTCCCTTTGGCCGATATTTCCGGCCGAGATGGTCGACGGAACAAATGAGAGGTTCTGATTGGCTGTTGAAAGTCAGGTTGTGTTATGACAAAAGTGCGTCACGACGCTGAGCGACCTACAGCAACCAATGAGCGAAGCGAATTTCTCCCTTCTATCGTTTCAGTCAAAAAGAATCGGTTTCTCGATTCTGAGGGTAAAGAATCGATTCTCAAGAAAATCAAATAGTAAAGAATCGATTCTAAAAATCGATTCTTTCAGCAAAAAAATCGATTTTTTAAAGAATCGAATCGGAATCGAACATCCCTATGACCTACCCATGACTTAAAAAAAAAAAATGGATCCTGTTAAGCGGTTCACCTAAACCTGGGAAGGGGCCCAAATGAACAGGCAAAGCAGAACATTAAAAAAAATCCAGGAAGTTTGAGAATAGACAGCGAATAAGTTACTAAAAGTCAAGAATATTAATGGTAGATCGATCTCGTTAAATTGACTGAACTGGTATTTTTCACGTCACTAAGAATGCAAAAATCCATTTAAATGTAGACTCGACAAAATATAATAAACATAATTGTTCGTTGTCTCTTCTCTGTCAATTCTGACAAAATGACATACAAAAAAGCAGGAGGGACAACGTGGCCAAAAAGATGAAATAAATCAAACGTTTCTTATCAAATCATTATATTATTGTCTGTATAAAAAAAAAAACTTATCCAGAACATGAAAACATGGTTGACAAATTTTTTTATATAATTTCTTATATATGTGTATATATACATATCTCTGCTCGGTGAATACAGTTTATCATGCAGTTTTTTTCTTCCTGTCTGTTAATTAAAATCCAATGGTAGTAATGGGACGGTATCTATAAAAATTATAGCTTAGCAATGGTCTTAACTATTTATACAGAAAAAGGATGTTCAGTAAGTTAAGACAACGGGAATAGGTAATAATTATGTGTATGTAAAACATCATGGTCAATACCCCCTACCAGTTACATTATTTTATCAATAAAGGTGCCTATATTTCACAGGCAGCCTAGCTTTACAATAACGATGCCGTAACTACACGCTTACATTTAGTAAAAGCATATGTTCTTGTAGACATACACGAGTACGCTAGTATATATACAATAATCATTTACATAATTCTATTTATGTAATCATTCAAACGCGTACTTAATATTTTTTTTACAGTATCTTAAACGACGGTGACTTATACATATATGCTTTAATGAAACAATGAAAATAAGGATTTCATTACTGTTTCTTTGACTTTTAGGTATATGACCATAAATGCAGCACTCTATGCTACTCTAGGTATTTAAAGTTTATTACAATTATGTAATAAACCATAAAAGTCTAGATACAAAGAAAATCAATATATGAAATATAAACCAAATTTTTGTTTGTATATACAAATGTATCCTTCAGCTGGTATCGTAGTTTAATTTGTCCGGTAATTGCCACAATTGCCTTCCTGAAAACATCTTTGTCTCAATCGACAAGATTTTTATGCAAAGTACAGACACAGAGGTGCGCACTAATGTACTGTGATTATTTGATTTGCAGTATGACGATCACAACACTTTCTATGAATTATGGCATAATCTAATCTGTCACTGTAAACTGAAAATTATTATTTAATATTAAAATAAAGAAAATATCCCCATTTAAGTGCTCTATATATTACGATCTTTTGAGGACCGCAGTGGTCGTTCTGTTGCCACCTGGCTGTGGTATCAGGCGAACCGTAATCAGCGACAGATCGAGCATTTTGCGCTGGTATTTCTTGTGAAACAATAAGGCGGCAGACTGCGTCTTAAACACAATTGTGGCACTACGTTCACCCATGTGTATGCTCTACAACACGAAATAACGGAAAAAACCATAATTAATACAGTTTTTGTTTTAAGAATAGACCTTTTATTTTATATAGAGCGACTGGCGCTGTTATAAAAGATGAACAAAAATAACAAACTTAAGAATACTATCTTAATGAAAAAATTAGGAAAATTGAATAAACACGTAAGAATTCATAAGCGAAATAACGCAAATCTTTCAAACCCATAGAGGAAACGTAAAATGCAATTTCATGCAGTTTTGTAGATATTTTTGCTTCTGTCTTTAAATGGTAGTACGTTTTTGTTAAAGACTACAGTCATTACAATTTCGAGTAAGAAAAATTAAGGTAACAATGCTTTGTACTTTGAATACCTCTAAGCATCATAATTTAAGTACAGTGAAGGAACAAGTAATGGTAACGTATTTTGCAAAAACTTCGCATGCGCTAGATATATCGATTATACTTTGCTTTTAACACAATTAATACTTTAAACTTCTTTGTAACAGAATTCTTATATACTGGTCCTTGCCAGATTATTCAACAAGCGACTTATATCTATCAGTAGATGCAAACGCATTTCTCAACATACATTTCGCAATCGCAATAAAAATTTAAGAATATAAAAATAACGTTTACTTCTCTTTGCGTGGTTGCTTTTGATTACATCGGAACTTATATAATAGTTCTGAATGTATGAAGCTCTTAAAGCACTTGAGATTATGAAACAATATATCTCATTAGATATATAAGAAATATAAAATTTGGCCTTTGGTCGAATACTTTATAGTAACCCGATGGCTAAGCACATCCTTAAATCACTAAGTTAAAAGTGAAATTCACTAATAAGTCATGATAGCTCATTAATAATAAATCAATGCTCATAGCATTTCAGTTTGAAATTAAGTAATTCTGTTTCCAATACTAACAAACAAATATAGCATGATTTGAACGTGACATGTAATGCGGCATGTAACATGTAAAGATAAATAATTTGCAGGTAATTGTCTTCATTATAACCATTCAACTTTCATTTCAAATAACTAAATCTCTAATTATGTGATAGATTTTGCATCGATAATTGTTCTGTCTGTAATGCAATCATAAAATAGAACTGAAGTACTCACTGCATAACCGAATGTTATTAGTGCTATTAGTCAGATATCATAAATTGATGGAATGTTAATAAAATCCACGAAAGATGTTAGAGCAACAAATATTCTTTAATCCTTCTATGTAACAAGAAGGAAGAGTGCATTAAAACATTATTGAGTGGAATTGAAAGTATCCTGTGATCGTGTTACAAACCATCGAAATCAAAATTTAAAAATAAACAAACTATAAATCAATGTAGGAAATTTTGCGCCAGTTGTGACCATCAGATAGGAACAAAAAGAAAGGGCTGCAGTTTTTTTTTATCAAGTAAATATAGTCACCTCGATTGTTCCGATGCCTTGACACATGCGTCGAATCTTTGCCTCTGATGTGCTAGCTGCTAGATTTTCCACTTTGACTGTATTCGTTGTGGTTTCTGCAGCTTTTTTAGTTTGACCTGGTAACTTTTGAACCACTACTCTCTGGTTATTTTGAGTATTGACAACAACCTTCTGGCAAACGCCTCCAGAAACGTTTTGAGAGACTACTCTCTGCTGTCCGCTGTCTGCCATCTTTTGAACTATTGTACCAGTTGTCTTCGAGACGCCACTGTTGCTCGAAGATGTTTGTTTCTGCGCATTTGAGACCGCTTTCTGCATATTTATCATTTTCATCTGTGATGCCGACAAAGGCTTGTGTATAACCACTCTTCGAGTTCCAGGTTGGGTAGCTAATTGACGTGCTTGAGTATCTTCGTTTGTAGGTACCACAGAAATAGTAGTGTTCATGTGTCTTGCGTTTTCGTTTGTTAAGCAAGGCTGGGTTCCTGGTACCGTTCGTACTATCCGAACTCCAGGTCCTGTGGTTTCCTGAAATAAAAATGATATTTATTAATATCTAGGTAATTAAAAGAAATACTTTGTATGAACGTAACGATCAGATGCACACAGCGATAAAAATATGAAATTTAATTGCAATTATACAGTTTAGTTGTTAGGCAATAGTACAGAATAATCCTTCGTAATAAGAATTGATATTTCTAAGTTGATGTTCTCTCGGTGATTTATGTAAATAAAATAATTGAAGGAAATTAAATAAACAAAATATCGTTAAAAATGTATTTTATTTATACATAAAAGAAATCATACAGTTTAAATCCATGTGATAGAAGTAAAAAAAGGAATTGAAATGCAGCACTTGAAGCTTTATTAACAAGTACTGACCATACCAACCCAAAGTTAATTTTAATACTTTGGAAACTTCTTAGTTAAACATAGTATATGATTTTTTCGAGTTTGTCGTTTGTCTAGCTCAAGTATTACATTAATGTATCTTGATTGTAACAATCTGGACACGTTAACAACACAGCTCAAAAATGAGCTATGAAGCTAAAGCGACGTATTCAGTAAAAAGAAAAAAATAATACGCATTTCAGTTTCAGTCAATAAGTAATTTCAGTGAATATAATAGTTCCAAACATTGGAATCTTGTTATATAAAGTGAAAAGGAATTCTACATTATTTTTCTAAAACCCTTTCCCCCTTCACGTTACAAGTTAATATCAGATTTATAAAATCCACACGGGAATTGTTTATCAGAGATTGATACTCTTTATATCGTCAATAATATCACAATTCTTAGAATAATGAGGGATTCTTAGTAAAATACCTCTGAGGATTGTGCATTTGAAGGTCTGCCACGTCCTCTACCAATTGCTGGTCGAGCTATGGTCATTGTTGATGACTTTGCCACTCCTGTCACAGCTACCGTTGGTTTCACCTCTTCCATTGTACTTTCTGAAAGTAAATCCCAAGCTAGAATTAATTTCCCGTACTCAAGGTCCCATTAGGGAGACTGAATAAAAATTCGCTTAATAAGAAACTTGCGCCTAATCAACATAATTGCACGTAATGCTCTCTTGCGTTGCTGGAAGGTCTTGCTTGTTCAATCTCATTTTATTAACTTCAAATCAATTTTCAAGAATAAGGAATATTTATTTATTGCGAGAACACTAACCAGAGGTAGTGATCACTTCGCTGGTCTTCGCTTCCTCGGAGTGCTTCTCCATTGCAGCCATTTTTCTACGATTTTCTTTCTCTCGTAGAATCTTCTCCCGAAGGCGTTTCTGCTCCTCTAATTTCTTCCTGTACTCTCGCATCTCTGGATCACTGTCTTCCTCCTAAAAAAAAAAAAATATATATATATATAGTAATTTTAGTAACGGCATAAATTTCGAATTCGTCGCCAATAAAACAAATAGGTTTAGTTTAATAGACTTACTCTTTTCTCATGTATGGTGTCATTATGTGTATCAATGGTTTTGACTTCTTGTAAGTTTCTAATGTTTGTTTTCGCTCGTTTTGGACTCAGGTCCCGAGGCATTTTCTCTGCTGGCTCGGGAACTCGTTTTAGTGGCATCCTATTTGCCCCTCTTATAGGAGCATTTGTTGGTCTGTTGATAGGTGGTTGTTGCAATTGTGGCTGATCATAATTTTCATTGCGGTACGTATTGTTTACCATAGGAACACAATTCTTTGGTAGACGATCTGCCATGTTACAAGAAGCTGGTGGATCTCTGTCTCGATAAATGGGAATCTGTTCCTAAATGGGGGGATAAAAAAACCTATAATTATAAACAGAACATTGACAATATACAACAAAATCACATCAAATTCATTTCAGTGTCTCAAAACTTCGATTAGTCCATTTGATACTTTTCTTTTAACATTTCTCATTCACAGCGGTGAGAATGGAACTTACATTGGGGAAGTCCGCAGTACTGTAAGTACTTTGAGTGCAGCATGTCTTAATACAATTCAAATATCTTTATTCGAAACAGGTCTATATACAGATTTATCTGCAATAAAATTAAATCTGACGATTATTCTTACCGATTGATAACTCGGGCGACGCTCCCACTCATTTTCGGTTTTGTATTTCTCCTCGTAATTTTCGTAATTGTTAGAACGGGAGTAACCACTTTCAGCCGGATAAGACTTGCCCGAACTGGTAGGAGGCTTTTGCGGTTTGTTCTCTTGCCATACATCCGAAAAATAAGCATATGGATCCTGCACATATACGATAACATAATCAATTACCTGGATCACCTACGACTTCCACTTAATAAAAAAAAAAAAAAATACATACGTCATTTCTTTGGGATTGAAACGTTTGCGGTTGAGTAGACGACGCAGAAGTTGGTGTATAATTTGCTTGACCCTGATATGGAGATCGTGATTGAATGAACTGTTCACCTTGAGGTGTCTGAGGTAACCTCGCCTGTTGATGTTGGTTAGAGTCCCAAAGTAACCTCGCTGTCAATTAGAGAAATTAATTAATTATCTAATCCTTCGCATTGATTACCTCTTTCTAAATCAGTCTAAGTACTATGCAACGAACACTTACCATCCGCTGCAGGCTGCACAGCACCTCTAAAATGTGGATTTATCAAGATCTTATGTCCTGGTGGCAAAGGTACATTAGGTATGTTGGGATTTGGTTGTGGAGGCATTCCAGATATGCCTGGACTGGACTGCTGAGACATTGCAGGAGCATTAGGGGTGGTGTATTGGTTGATCGATGGTAGTTCGTTATATACCGGTCTGGAGTCATACGAAGGTCTTGCATCAAACTGCTCTTGGAAAGGTGGTCGGTTCTCGAAAGAAGGTTGACTAGGCATCGGCACATTTTGGTGATTCTGTCCTGGTGGTAGGGCAACAGGTGGTACCGGTGCTCGAGGAAATATCTGCCCTGGCATCCCCTGGTTCCCTGGCATTATCGGTCCCTGGTTACCAGGCATCGGATGGCCAGAAGGATTTCCTTGGATCATCAGCCCCTGGTTCCCCTGCGGTGGGCGTCCTTGATTCTCCTGCACGAGTACAGGCTGGTTTTGGAAGTGTGCCACTTGATTTGGCATATAAGGAGGTTGATTCGGGGCACAATTGTACGGTGCGACAGGTCCTGGAGCACGTGGACCAAAATCCGTTCTTGGTCCCACCACTCGAACAACCGGAGGTCCTGGGGGCCCTTGGTACTGATTAGGATTGAAGGGAGGTCTGTTTTCCCCAAAGTGCATCGGCCCTTGCATGGATACATTCGACGGGAATTGTTGGAACGGTGTTCCTCCCAGTGGATTGTTGTGATGATAGATCATTTGTTGATTAGGTACGGTGTTCGGTCCAAGAAACGGAGGTCTGTTGTCCAACAGCGGAGGTCGAAATTGTGGTTGCTGGTTGTCGAAGGAAGGTCCACGTGGAGCAGCGAATCTGAGGGAGAGAAATTATACAGTAAAGGAATGAATGATTATATCGTAATGGTAATGAAGGAAAAAGAAATAGATTCAATGAATACCTTGGATTGAAATTTGAGTTATTTTGCCCAACAAAACGTCCACCTCTGGTCCCCCTGATGCCTCGTCCTCTACCTCTGCCTCGAAACGGTTGTCTAGGTTGTTCCACCGTAACAACATTCTCCAGAGAATCCGGAATTTCGTTATTCATCTTTGGTGAAACGATGATCCTTTCGTTTTGGAATCTGTTCCTCCTCTCCTTTGCATCTTCGCAGTCATCGTCTTCCAAACCTTGAGCATTGCCGATGTAGAAATCTCTCTGCGAATTCTTTTGGAGCTTCTCTCGAAGGTCTCTCAGAGCATTTCCACTTTCTTGCGAGGGTCCTTCTTCACTTTGGGAGTCCTGCATGTTCTTGAAGCCTTCCTGTTCCTCTTGCTTGTAATACTTGGTCTCGTGACGCTCTTCTTTGTAAAACTCATTTTCGTTACGGTTATTGGTCTCGCTTCTATACTCTATATTTTCATCTTCTCCTTCTAAGTCGTCGAGAGGATCCATGACTCCTAAGTCCAGCACGTCATCGGTCTCTTCTTCTCCCTTATAGCTATTCTGCTGCTCGAGGGAATTAAATTGCCAAACATTTGTAATGAACGTAGAGTAATTTTAGGAATTTAAAATTATTTTTTGTTTTTCTACGCATATTTTGTTATATATGGATATGTATTCGCAATAGGTGTAGCATTGAAGCTGAAATAGCTTTAGTGTAGAAGGTTTTGCGGAAAAAGCTATATTTTTATATAAAAAAAAAATATTTGCAAACGCTGGGACCGCATCAACAGGTTTTCCTTCTGTACCGCTCCGAAGAAATGCTCTTAGCAGTAATGTCCTACCCATGTATGGAACATTAATAATGGGAATATAAAAGGCCGCGAGGACGTGTTTGACGAAAATGATGCTAATTATGTTTTTATCCAAAATGCTGATCAAACTAATAGAGAATCCCTTAACTGATGACGTGAATTTAAATTAACAATTCTGCAGTATTGTTTAACAGCACTTGAAGAAGACATTCTATAATGATTGTTATAACATTTTTGTGCTTTGACATATAAAAAAAATTTGCTCAATCTTCGATATACTTCGTTAAGAATTGTAGTTGATGTGATGTGACCTTATGCTTATAGTAAAAAAAAAAAAAATTAATGAACACTAGGATTCATTTCACAAAGTATATAAATTAAGAATGGATCTGAAGTATACAAATCATTCTTAAGAATCCTAACGCGTCTTCAGCCTTTTCTCTGATCGCAATAAAAAAATGAAATATTTCTCTCCATACAAGCTTGCAAGATATCGAAGGGCCTACTAAACGCAAATATAGCTATGTACTTTTTATCAACAGGTCGCATTTCAAACTTCAGAAGTTCGATTGACAGACATATACGAGATAAGTTCGATTGATAGATATTCATGATCTAGATTTATGGAAATTCACATTTCCAATATTTTCAACCCTTAAGCACTCATGTACACATTTTTGTCACTTCAACATAAATGTTACCGTTTAAAATCATCCTACTTTGAAATGCTAGCTGCAAATGTGAACTAAATGTTAATAAAATGGTCAGAGTTAAAAAAAATAAAAAAAATAGAGAAAATTGTACGATTTAAAAGACATATACAGTTATGAAATTATAAAGTATTTTCTATCCTATTACAAAGGTATCTTTATACGAGTGCTAAAGGGTTAACAATTACGGAGGCAGTAAATGTAATCTTGAATGTAGCAGTACCGTATATTCCAGTCTTGTGAGTTCTTAATGTATGCATAAAAGAAATATTTTTCATGCTAAGATTCTAAATTGTATAAAATGGGCGTAAAACATCCCAAAAGAACGTGTTGTGAACAAACTTTTTGAAGACAAAAGATGAAAACAAATGCAATTTGTGACTGAATTACGTAATGCTGCTACATATCAAAGTGCAGATGATTCGCTATGGTCATAATCTTAAATTCACACTCAAGAATAATAGTTCTAATAACAGAATGTCCCTACGCAAGGAATCTTAATGGTAAAGTTGTGAGCTAAATGTTCGACAAGGCTACTGGATAGTGATTCACAGTACTAGAATAACTTAAGAGAGTAATTGAACGGCTCATCGTAAGAATCAATTATTCAACATCATTCTGATAGAAAATACAACCAATAATAACAGAAATCTGCAACGAAGACACTTCACATAACATTATACAATTATGAGAGAGAAAAATATAGGAATGACATAAGTGACATACTTTCAGATGACAGCAAATAATCTTATCATTTCTTTGCAGTTTGAATCTTTTCAATAGTATCGGAAATATTTAACCTTGAACTCTATTATAACTGTTGGAGAACAAATTGATACATTGAATGTAAATGACAAATTCATATTAGTACCGAAATTAATTAACTGCTTCAATATATTTGTTTCTTACGTGGAACCTTCCAATGATAAAAATGAAGTTTTGGTTGTACATCATGCAATTCGAATTGGACTATTATGAATTACATTGACCGATCATATTTCAAAGGTGCTTTGAATATAAAATAATTGGGTAACATCTGAAATTGATATTTCATTGCTACTGAATGGATCAGCCTATAAAAAGTATGTAAGCAGTGACTATTGCTTAGGTGTTTAGTTATATTTAAGATCAATGAAACAGAGGAAAGGAAATTTGAAAGTTAAGCATATGCAAGAAAATAATTGAACTCAAAGAGTATAAATATTTAAACAGTATTCACTCATCATCAGTATAATGGTATTGTACATATCAATGTCACCAAGTGCTAGTAATTTTTATTGATTTCTTTAAAGATGTAAATAAATAAATTACAATGTGAAAGTTTCAATTAATTTTTTAATGTATACTCCTTTGTTAAGGATCTTTTCCTTCAGAAAATTTGTAAGAAATTACGTATTAAAAAATTGACAACGGAGCCCCGTAAATTGAACTTTTATTTCCTTTTCACTGCATCCTTTCCATTTACCTTCAAATGGCAGAGAGGTGTGTGTATGTACAGATCTTAATATTGTCTTCACATGCATTTTATAAGACGCCGCGAAGCAAAGTTTATATAAAAGGTATACAGTTTTTAAACGCATGCAGCTGGTTCATTTTACATAAATATTTCGTGATGTAGTTGTCACATCATAAGAGAACTTTTTAGTCTTAAAATACTTAGAATACGCTATAAATATAACAATGGACCGGTGATACGCAAAACTTTTAAAACACAACACCCTCATTAAAAGTGCCTAAATGGAGGATCCAAATATAGTATTCTTTGTTAAATATTTGTCTTCTGTACGCAGCGAAGGCATATTTCCATTTGAGGTATAATTCAAAAGAATACATTTTCTTAAATGGTTTCCAAGAGAAATATTCGGGAAGAAAGATAACATTACTCCAATCTGTTTCATACATTGCAATATGATAGAGCCTGTCGTATTTATAATACTTTATAAGAGTTTAAGCATTTCAACAAAAATACAGGTACAATTTTATGAAGACAAAGACCGTTGCATAACGCTATGAGTCACCAGGAGATCTGAAAATTATATCTAGACGAAGCTTGGAAATACAATTCAATATTTGTTTCAGTGTGGGAATGTTATTTACCATACCCTATATAAAGTTATAGCAAGAAAAACTAAAATTACTCTGGTCCTGTTTCTTATTGATTATTGTTGAGTCCTATATAATGGATGGTATGACATTGTTTCTTCTTAAATAATCATATACAAGAACGTATTCGAGTATGTTATAATATATAAATACTTTTTTGTATTCATCAGTAACTCAAATATTGTTGTTCTTTCCAAGAATCATAATCTGTTTGATTAAAACAGCTCAAGTAATAGCAAAGTAAATATCATTCCAGAATCTTACCCTGCCGATTTCATAGTCATCCGCTAATAGCGCTTCTTCCTCATCATTGCAGAGATCATATTCTTCATCGCCCAAATCCTCGTCCAGTAAAGTATCATCACTATAAACAGATTCACATGTTCATAACAAGAACCTAATACTACATTTTGCAAAAACCTTACAAGACTTACTTATTGACTGAGTCGATAACGTTTAATTAGACTATAAAAAGGTTTAATTACGTACTGAACAAATACAGTAAGGTACGTCATATCATAACCATTGCCGATTCTAACCTACATTCGCGTTTTTCCCTAATAAAAGCTTTTATGCATACTTTTCATTAAAGTTATGATACAAATTAGTGTGCGATAACAAAAAGTAAAGAAGTAGATCATTCTTTATACGTTTATCTACAAACATCAAGGAAAAAAGTACTTACTGTTCTGACATGGCTCACCACCTTTCTGCGACCCTCCTAATCGATTGTTGGATTTCGAGATGACGCTCTTTGCAATCGAATAAGCAAAATAATTGAACACTGGACTTTATTAGTTCCTGGGTATTCCAATAGAGTGCAGTGCATGGAGAATTTGGCCACGGACTATGTAGCTCATAGACGCGTTTCAGCGGACGCAACACTTAGACCATATATTCTAAACCACGCATTGAAATTCCCACACCCAAATTTTCAGTAAGCAGAATGGCTTTAACATCGCGTAAAATGTCCAAGTTCTCTACCCATATAGTTCTAGAATTCATACGCGCCTCGCTATAATAAGCTCTGTTTGCATGACTCCGTATTTTGGTATTATTTTTGAGCCATAGATGCCCCTTGTATCGCAGGATTCAAAACCTCATTTATTTCCGTAGTTTATGCTTATCTCTCGTTTCGTGCGTCTATGTTCTCGAAAAAAACTTCCGGTAAACAACCAGCGTTCGATGACAGGAAAAACGTTTGTTTCAGTGTTTATTCTAACCAAGCCGGCTGTAGATAAAGTAGTGTTTAGTCGGCGTTCGTAAAAGAAAATGGGACGTCGTAAGAGTAAGCGAAAGCCGCCGAGTAAAAGGAAAGCAATCCAGCCGTTGGATACTCAGTTTAACTGTCCATTTTGTAATCATGAAAAATCATGTGAGGTTAAAATGTATGTATGGAATAATTCATGCTCTGTTTACAATTTAATAAACATTGTTGAATATGGGTTTTACATTTTTTTTAGGGATAAATCAAGGAATACAGCTCGAATAACATGTAGAGTATGTCTAGAGGACTTTCAAACCACCATAAATTTGTTGTCCGAACCTTTGGATGTGTACAATGATTGGATCGATGCATGTGAAAATGCTAATTAACAAGCTCTACCATGGGCAATATTGTATTTATCATGGGAGACGACGTTACGTCAAACAGATTTATAACAGTTTATTAATAAGAATGATTTATTACTAAAGCTGCAACCCTGTATAGTAAACTATTTTGTGATTTTAAGACTAGAATTTATCAAAGTTAGATTCTCTCTTATACATTACATTTCATTTATATTGTTTTGTATCGATAAATTATAGGACAAATAGGTTTATGAACCAGACTATGTAAGGTACGAATTCTGAATCTTATATTTTATAATCCTTAAAGGATGAGAGAAACAAAATAATACCTTATATTATTTACTACATACAAAGTATGATTTATACACATATATAATAGTGATACGTGAAACAATTGTACAATAGTATAATACAATAAATGATAGGGGTTAAAGTTTTGGAAGCTTTGCCCAAAGGTTTTTAAACGAATTAATATCTTACATTTCTCATATAATGAAGTCACCTAGGATTGATGATAACATGGACTGTTTAAGAAATCGTTCCACCCAACGAAGCAAACAAATTTAACGTTAAAAGAAAGCAAGTTAGACAATTTTTTCGAGCAGAATTAGAATTGATCAGATTTTGAGGGACGTCATTCTTCCTAACAGCGGTATTTCGGTGACTCTCAGTCTCGCTCTCGAATATTGCCGAACATCGGGTGGTTATCGGGCAAGTTACAACAAAAGTTTGTCTCATTGGGTAACACTTGTCACGGGGGAAGGGGGCAGGTGGGAGACCATCGAACTTCATTTTACTAATGTATCCTTTTTCCTCCAATTATCGGTGCGAGCGAGAGCGAGAGACCAGTCTCTCAAGGACTGGAGTGGGGAGGCCGAAGAGGTGGGGGTCTCCGGTGGAATAATCTTGAGCTGTGATTGGCTGGTGGAAGCATGATGGCGGAAGTACGTTGCACCGTGGACAAGATGGCGCCCGGCCGAGCGGTGTACATTCGGTGGGAAAAGTTCGTGAAAAAATGCCGCGGCAAGCAAGGAGCGACGCGTGCGAACGGGTTTAGAAATTCGGGTGTCTCGTGAGTTTAGCCACGTCGTTGCGCGTCGGGGGTAAACAAAACTCTGATGGGGTTATCGAGGCTGCTTTGGTAGCCCGGCTCCTTAGGTTCACTTTCCCGGCGAGAGGATTCCGCGGCCGTCGCGGCGAACAACGACGCTATGGCGTCCATCGAGTGTGTGTGTCATTATTTTTTATTTCCAATTAACGACTAATTAAGGTGCCGCTAAACGCGAAGTAGCCTGCGGAAACCGTCGGCCCGATTTACGGAGGGTGTCGGTCGCGAGGAGTGTCGACCGCCGATGCGTTTCAGCGTCGCCGAGGGCTCTGGAAAAACAAACGGCCACCTCAGCCTTTGCCCTTCCCGTTTGACAGCTCACACCCTGGTTGCACTGAAAGACGATGCGAGGAGCACCACGACCGAGACCCGTGGATGTTCCACGAGAGAACAAACCCTCCGGGCTCGATCCTAAGCCTAACCCCAAAACATAACTCCAGACTACGCTCTCTTCGGGGACATACTTACCCTGACTCGGAGTTTGGATCTTTCTAGCCCAAGAAACTTTCTTGTTATCGTTACGCTAGATACTTTAGTGGAAATCTTATTCAAGCTCAAGTTGCTGCCGTGGCTCTGTTCTACGAACAGGTGATACCACAGATCCTTTATAGGTATGTATACTATGATGCCCGTCAACGTAATCTCTTGCTCTAAATGTATTCAGGGGTATATAACGGGTCATCGCTGCATGCATAGAAAGTGTATATTGCTTCTTGGAAAATATTACCATGTATAGATGTTTTTTAAAGGCTCAGAGACTCATGAATTCTCTAATTTTGTAAGTAACGTCATGGCATCAGGTATTTTATTGCTTATGTAAATTCATTTAGTTTAAGAGGGCATTTTATGAGACTGATTTTCACTTGGAACAATTATACTGGTGTAATTGTTAACAATGTGAGCATGTCAACTAATTGTAAGCATGTTTCCTAAAGTAATAAAAAAAGTACTGTTATTTGGTTTTGTAGCTATCTCTTTTTTTGGTGACTCTCACAAAAGTAACTGATTAGAAAGTAGAAAAAGCTGGTTTTGAAACTAGCGTTCTACTTAGTTGATTGTATAGTTTTTATGTAAGGCTTATGCATGATTTATTTTAAGTGGTAGAGCAGATTGTCCGGAATTATTTTTAAATATGTACATATGAAATTAACCTTTAATATATATTTAAGGAAGTACATATACATTGGATATTTAATTTACAATAATTGCTTTTGGAGTTACTAGATATTTCAATTTCTTTATATGTTCATTTGTTGCTAGTTTCACAGGCAGTATTATTTGTTACAGGAAAAAATGGTCATTCAATTATGAATGGATAGTCCACATCAAATAGATAAGTGCAAGTGCAAGCTGAATGATCGATGTTGCAAAAATATTCCATGGTTCGGTGCAGGATCCTTTAATTATTTGCTATCAGTGAATAGACATTGTACAAGATGTCTAATAGTTTGGACAGCTTTTTAACCCGTATCGGAGATGTTACTATAGAACGTGTTAACCCTCGTGGCAGTCCCAGAGCATCCGATCAAGCTGGAGTTTCAACCGAAACTCCTCCGACTACGAATGCCAATGACATCGAGCAACAACTTGTTAACGATGACAGCTCGGACGATTCGAGTGGGGAAACGTCCGAGGGGGAGCAAGAAAAGAAAGTTGAATCCTTGCCAGCTGATGAGATAGAAGAAATTCGTTCCGAGTGTTCAGGGGATGACATGGATTTAGATGAAACTATAGACACCCAAATAGGAGTAAGGATGGAGTCCGAACAAGAACAAACAAATTCTCCAACGCAGGACGACGACATTGAAGCGGTTAACATTTTGGATACACTGCCATTAGAAGGTACATAGTTAGTTGAAATGCGATGACAACATCGGTTTCATAAAGTTTATTCAATTCTAGCTATTTTTAAATTCTATCGTTAGATTTCAAATACTTATAAATATCCTACTACGTAAGAAGCATTAAATTCTATGAATCACCGAACCGTTACTTTTGCATAGACTTTTATGTATAAGCTTCACGTATAAAATAATTTTACCTAATTACCTTTAACTCACCGTCTTCCCATGTACATATATATGAGCCGATATGTTTAACTCATCGTTTTTATTACATCACAAAGGGGCGCCGATAGAAGGCCAAGAGGTAACCGAGGCTGACCTTCTCGGTAAGCCGATTTCCAAGGAAATGGACGACGCGGATCGCGAGGACAACGACAACAAGTCGGAGAGTCAATCCGGAGATGAGAAAGAGGGAGAGGGTAACAAGAGGCGCGCGGATTCCGAGAACTCGGAGTCCGCGAAGAAGAAGCAGAAGAAAGACGACAGTAACGAGGGCTCCGCTTCCGAATGCGAGACGAAGGCCGAGAAGAAGCTGGCCAACATGAGGAGGAACATTCGCGAGGTCATGGACGAGGCTCAGTTGGATGAGGCCACCCTGGCCGCCCAGCGCCAGGAAATGGAGCGTCTCCGGAGGGTCCAAGAACAGCAAAGGATCATCCGGGAGGTCCAGAGGCAGATTGCCATCAATCGACAGAACAATAAAACCCAGACTCGCGTGATTAGCCTTCTACAGGGAAAGCAGAACCAGGCGGGTACGACCATCTCGCCGTCTTCCTCCTCGTCGTCCCAGGTGCGGTTGCCTAGCACGGTGCTCCTGAAGGTAAACTCTAGCTCCGGGTCCGGTTCGCAAACCGGGTCGGGTATGCAATCCAGCCAGCTCCAAAGGCGACAGATGGACGGAGTTCGCTGGCAAAAGGGAAGAGGTGGCTACCAGGGGGTCCAGACGTCGATCTCGCGAGTTCAGCAACGCGGCGCGGGGGCGAACATGCTGCAACAGAGGATTCGCATGATGACCCCGTCCGTCAGTATTTCACCGGTAGTACCCAAGAAAGAACCGATCGACAGGTCCGAGTATTACTCGGATTCCGACTTGTCCGACGTGGAGGCCGACGAGGCCTTGCGAGAGAAACAGCTGCACACCATGCGCAAGGTGTCGGGTATGCCGAAACCTCAGAAACCGGCCAAAGGGAAGGACGTGGTCACCATATCCAGCTCCAGCGAGAGCTCCGATGACGATTGCATAGTCTTGAGCGACCCCAGCGGCGGGGAAGAGACCGACAACGATGACGACCCCTCGAACTCCGGGATGCACACCAACGATCGGTACAATGTTCCTGACGAGCACGGGCGGGTGCTGATTAACGTGGGACACCCCGAAACCGAGCCCGATGTCTACTTGGCTCCTCAGGTCGCGCGCATCATCAAGCCCCATCAGATCGGCGGCATTCGTTTCCTCTATGACAATATCGTGGAGAGCATCGAGAGATTCAAGACCAGCTCTGGCTTCGGATGCATCCTCGCTCACAGCATGGGCCTAGGTAAGACTCTGCAGGTCGTCAGCTTTTGTGACATTTTTTTTCGGTGCACACCCGCCAAGACGGTCCTCTGCATCATGCCCATCAACACCCTGCAAAACTGGCTGGCCGAGTTTAACATGTGGCTGCCGTTCGAGGACACTAACGCCGAAAAACCGGAGAAGCTGTTCAACATCAAGACCGAGCCCGGGTTGGATACCAAACAGGAGATCAAGGAGGAGACGGGAAGCCAAAGCGACATGTCGAACATGTCCAGACCAATTAGTACGGAGTCCGCTCATCGTTTAGGCCAGGATAACATGCTTCAGCCGTCCAGCATGATGGACCATCCGTTCTCTCATCACGGTTATGATGGGCACGGTATGGTGCCCAATTATGGTGTCCAGGACAACATGATGAATAAAACAGGCATGGACCAGGGCTCCCACTTGAGTCAGTCCTATCACGGCGATATCTCTCAAAATTCCATGTATGGTCCCACGGGAAATACCATGACCAGCTTCGACCCCATGAAGCCGGAAGTTGATTGTCACGGCTTGCCAACCGGACCGAACATCCCTGGCTCTAACTTCAGGGTGGAGAACCACGCATCGGGGCAATCGGCCTATTCGGGACTGCAGAATAGATCACAAGGTCCGATGTATCCTGATGTAGATAACAGGACACCGGGATCGATGTACACAGGAGTGCAACCGGGAATGGATAATCCCGCGGGACCGTTGTATCCTGGCTTTGGGAACGCTCCTTCAGCGCCAACTTCGCAGCCGTTCTCTAGTTTTAATCCGAACTCCGAGTCTCAGTCCCAGTCACAGCTCCAATCGCAGCAACAGTCTCAGTCTCAGCCTCCCTTTCAGGGCCAGCTTCAACCCCAGCTTCAGCCTCAATCTCAAATTCAACCTCGACCGCCAAGTCAACCGCAGCCTCAGAGCCAACCTCAACCTCAAGGACAACCTCAGGCCCAGAGTCAACCTCAGTCTCAAGAGCAGAAACCGGAGCTCGGTCATGTTCCCGACATCAACATTAAGAAGGAACCCGAGGACTCGGTCAAGAAGGAGGAATGCAATCCTTCCAAAGATGCTGCTGCGGAGGAGAAGAAGGACGTGGACAGGATAAAGACCCCCTTCAGCGTGGACGCTCCGATAGGGATGGAGATTCGGCCTCGCCATTTTCGGCTGCACATTCTGAACGACTCGCACAAGACCATGGCTGCCAGGGCCAGGGTTATCCAGGACTGGCAGAACAGGGGAGGAGTTCTGCTGATTGGGTACGAACTGTACCGACAGTTGTCCCTGAAGAAGCCCAACAAGGCGAAGAGGAAGCGCGGCCAGCCCTTCAAGGACACCGTCGACGTGGAGGAAGAGGACAAGAACAAGGGACTTTTGGACGAGATGCACACCGCCCTCGTCAGTCCCGGGCCAGATCTGGTGATCTGCGATGAGGGTCATCGCATCAAGAACTCCCATGCTAGCATCAGTCTCGCCCTGAAGCAGATGCGCACCAAACGTAGGATCGTACTAACTGGGTATCCGCTGCAGAATAATTTGCTGGAGTACTGGTGCATGGTGGACTTTGTCAGGCCGAATTATCTGGGTACCAAGAGCGAGTTTTGTAACATGTTCGAGAGGCCCATCCAAAATGGACAGTGCATCGACTCGACTCCGCAGGATATCAGGTTGATGAGGTACAGAGCTCACGTGCTACATGCCTTATTGGAAGGATTCGTCCAGCGCAGGTCGCACTCCGTGCTGCAGGTGTCCCTGCCTAGGAAGGAGGAGTATATCCTCCTCGTCAGGATGACTGCGCATCAGCGCAAGCTGTACGACACGTTCATGAACCAGGTGGTGAAGACGCGAGCGGTGCCGAACCCTCTGAAGGCGTTCGCGGTCTGCTGTAAAATATGGAACCATCCCGATATTCTGTACCATTTCCTGCGGAAACGCCAGGCCAACGAGGAGGACGACCTGGACCTTGAAGAGACCATCGGCGAGAAGCCGGCGCCTGGCGCGAAACGTACCAAAGCTCGACAACCAAAAGGGGAGACCAAGAAGGGCAAAAAGGCGAACGCTACTGTAAAGAATAAGCCAGCTGCCAGTGTCCAGCCGAACTCCTCGTCGTCGTCCAGTAATGACAATCCGGATGGCGAGAATGCCCACGGTAATTCGAAATCGGGCAATTACTCGAACTATCCCATGCAAATGCCGAACTCGGCCTATCCGAACCCGGTCTCGCAAGGGCCGTACTCCCACAGTTATCAGAACTATCGGCCGAACGACCAGAATAGTTACTACCGCAGCGACAGTTCCCATGGAGAGTACGGGGATTTTTATAACAATCAAGGCCAACAATCGAGATATGGAAATCAATCTTTCCAGCCGTACTCTCAGACTCCTGGGTACAATTCCACGCAGGGATATCCTAACCAGCCGCAGGGGTATCTTCCCAGTGGGGACCAGTCCGGAAGCCATCCGCAGAGGTACACATCCGGTTCCGGTGGTGCCGACTTTAGGCCGGACCAGGCCGAGGGGAACACTTACGAAACTCCTGGAATATATCCGCGACAGTCGTATCCGTATCAGGAGCAAAGCCGAACCTATCCACCGAACCTAAACCAGGGTCCGAATTATCCCCAGTCTCAAGCGTTTCAGAACCAGATGGCGAATCCGACCGGCAACATGGCGATGTCGGATTACTCTCCCTATCCTGCTGCGAATCAGTCTCAGACGTACGGATCGACTTCCAGCCAAGCTGGACAGATCTATCCTCGACCGGATGGCCAGCCGATGCAGACCTCTAATTTGGGGTACTCCTCGAGCCAGCAGAGTCAGTCATCCTCTGCTCAGACCTCCTCATCGGGGTACCTGCCCTCCCAGCAGGCGGGAAATCCGCCACCTGCGAGACAAAACCGCGGTTTCTCGCCGAATCGTCAGAGCCAGAACACTCCTCTTCCCAGTCCTGGTCACATATATCCGACCTCTCAGCAGGGTTCAAACGTGCCCTTGCAGAATCCACCTCATGGATATTCTGCGAATCAGGTGGGCCAAGGCTCCTCGTCGCAGACCTCGACTCTGGGATACGGAGCCAACCAGTCGACTGGGAACCCCATGTCTCAGTCTCAGACTCACGGATACATATCTAATCCCCGGAGCCAGACTCCAGCTGCGCAAAGTCAGATGCGAGGGTACTCCGGCAGCTCAGGGAGCCAAAGTAGCACCGCTCAGAGCCAGTCTTCAGGGTACGCGTCGTCTCAGCAAGGCTCCAACGCCAGTTCTCAGGGCCAGTCCCATGGATACTCGCCCGATCAGCCGGCTTCTACAACCTCGACGCAGAATCCCATTCATGGATATCCTCAAGGCCACCTGGTACCCCCAACGACGCCCCAGAGTCAGACATCCTCGTACCCCAGCACTCCTCAACCGCAGACCCCTGCTCTGCCAGGTCAGCCCCATGGCTATCCCAGCGGCCAGTCCTCGCAGTCTTCGTCGCAGAGTGCTTCTCACAGATATTCCAGTTCTCAGCAGGGACAGAACTCCATAACCCAGAACTCGCCCCTGAATTATCCCTCTTCCCAGCAGGGGCAGTCTGCGCCGATTAACCAGCCGGACCAGATATATCCGAGGTCGGATTCCCAATCGACCCAGAACTATACCCCTTCTAGTACACCTCATGAATATCCTCCTGATAGGCAGACCAGCGGTTCTACGACCAATCCGACCAACTACTCGACCACTCCGACACCTGCTGGAAACTCTGGACTGCCGAATTACCAATCGGAGGCGAATCATCAGACCCCGTTCAAGGGACCCGATGATCCTTACTGGCAGAGGAACTATCCGCAGTCCTTCAGGCAGGATCAGTGTAACGAGTCGTACTACAGGGATCCCAGCACTGGTCGATATCAGAACAACTACTTCCCCTCGCAGAATTACTCTAATCAGTCTTACGAGTACTCAGGTAATCGTGGGTCAGATATCAATGCCAGGCCGGATGAGTCCAAGACCCCGCAATCTGGGTCTGGTACTCATGCGCAAGGCCAGGGTAATTACGAGAAGAATAACAAGGATACCGGCACTAGTATCGGGGTGCAGAGTCAAGCAGTCGGGCAGAACAATATCCCTGCAGGTACAGGGTACAATGGTACCGAGTCAGGGTCTCAGACCAACATGTCCGGGTCTCAGGCCCAGATGGGGTCCATGAACAGATCCGGACAGGGGGTCGGGAACTATCAGACAGGAAATTCGAGGTCCAATCAGGTGGAGGCGGTCAAGGAGGAGGACAGGGAAAAGGAGGAATTGCTGGATAAGGAGAAGGAGGATAAATCAGACGACGAGATCCTTACCAAGGATGACGAAAAGGACCCGAAGAGCTCCCCTGGGAGCAAGGAGGATCCGGGTATACCGTATGACTGGGTAAGCGGATACTCTTCCATTCAAGATTCTTTTCCATTTTTCTATTTATCTTGCATCACCTATTTCGATTATTATTTTAAGATTATTAACTAGGAGACATCTGCTCTGTTTTATATTTATCACTCATTATTTTCACTGTATTGTAGATTGCAGAGAGGGAGAAAGAATGTGTTACTGGTGTGCGCCACTGGAGAAATTTCCGTCCAGGAGGTTTGGCATTTTGGTTACGTTTAGAACCAAAAACGTGAAATGTGTCTAGATGTCAGCTGTCGGTATACTAGGATGATGTATATTACCATACTTGTTATTGGGTCATCGGTGATCCACGCGACCTGGGGAACGGATTATAGAGAATTGGCTGGCACGGAATGTTTCATGGGAAACGTTAGACCTTCGTTCTCTCTTAAAACAGCCTAATTCCTCTCGCTGTGGAGATTTCCGTGATGGAGAAAGTACCGTTACGTTTGTCTTGGCTACGGCACGTGCTGTGCACGTTTCCTGAGCGTGGCTCACGTTTTTTTCCCATCGCTGTGTAGCGTTCCTCCACGGTCTACGGATGTTTCTCTTTGTTTCTTTTCTTCTCTCCTCAAAAAGACAGGCCTTTTGTTCCGGAAACTTTGATCCGAAGTTTAGGGTTGATAAAAATCAAGATTTTCGAGATTATTTTAATTCTTCAAATAAACACCTCATTTAAAATATTAGGGTAAATCGATAGTTACTTGATAACTATCGTCTTATGTATTTGGCGCGAAACTTTACCTGCTTTTTTTTAACGCAGCGTACTCTCCTCGTAACATGTATCGTGGTCTCACGCAGTAGCACTTTCTGATCGCAATTGTTAAAGATAGAAATTAGTCAACCGATGATAATGATGACTTTAATTTGACGATTTAAATCACCTGAACTTCACTGAAGTTGCACATAAAAACCGGGAGATTTTTCTCTTGTAATGTAGCCAGTTAAAGATTTAGTTAATGCAATAGTTCGTATTTTCGGTGCCATGTTATGTATTATTTATTTTTATATATGAAGTGATTATCGATCAATTGATTATATATTTCCTTTTGTCACGTTTTAGGCGACGGAGCTGATGAAGGGCTACGTACCAGGACTGATCGACGCGTCCGCGAAGATGACCCTTTTCTTCTGCATCCTGGAAGAAGCGATTCGCCTGGGTGACCGAGTCCTCGCGTTCTCGCAATCTCTGTTCACCCTGAACCTCATCGAGGACTTCCTCGCCAGGAACAACCTGAAGTACCCGGACGGCCAGACGGACGCCTGGGTGAAGAACATAAATTATTACAGGCTCGACGGCAGTACCAGCGCGTTAGAAAGAGAGAAGCTGATCAACGAGTTCAACAACAATCCCAAGATCCACTTGTTCCTGGTCTCGACCAGAGCTGGGTCTCTGGGCATCAACCTGGTGGGCGCGAACCGGGCGATCGTCTTCGACGCTTCTTGGAACCCTTGCCACGACACCCAGGCAGTTTGCAGGGTCTATCGGTACGGCCAGCAAAAACCGTGCTTTGTCTACAGACTGGTGACAGACAATTGTCTCGAGAGGAAGATCTACGACAGACAGATCAGCAAACAAGGCATGGCTGACAGGGTCGTGGATCAATGCAATCCGGACGCGCATCTTTCCCTTAAGGAGGCCACCACGTTGTCCTGGGACTGGGAGGAGGATAGCCAAGTGCAGGATTTTTCCCAGTCTAAGGATAGCTATACCGACGAAGTGATGCATCGCGTTCTGGAGAGGCACTCCTCTCTCCTCACCAAACAGCCCTTCCATCACGAGAGTCTTCTCGTCGATCGCAAGGACAAGAAGCTGAGCCAGGCCGAGAAACGTCTCGCTCGTCGCGGGTATGAACTCGAGAAGATGGCTGCTACTTGCTCCAGGCCTAGTTACAGCTACGTACCTGGAAATACGGCGACTAGAGGTTAGCATACGCGTGTACAGTTTAGAGTTAAAAGGGTCGAATAAGCATTAAGGTGATATGAAAGTGGTGTCAGAGGAGTCTCGTTTATAATACTTTTCTTCGAACTGGTTGTACCGAATCGTTTGAAACTTGACCACGTGGATATGGAGGCTATAAGGAAGGTCCTGACACCCATATAATTTCAATTTCTTAAAAATTTGTTTATCGACATTTTTTAACATTTTTTATAAAACCAAATGAAATTTGTTGAGTGCCAGGACTTTCCTCAAGGCATCCAAATTCACGTTGCAAGGTTTCAAATAATTCGATGAACCTACTTCAGAGACAAGTTTTATAAATAATTTGACGCCTGAGCCACTTTGATGTCGCCTTAATGCATAAGTAGACGCGAAGGAGAGTGATTAACATTTCTGCTTGATTCCAGCAGGTGGACTGCAAATAAGAGCAATAAGAGGAGCAGACGGTGGAGCCAATCCGAAACCCGTAGCTTCGGTTAGGCCCATGCAACAACGAGGTGCCGAAGGTTTAGGTCCGAGAGGAGTGGCTGGAAGTAGATGGATTCCCGCAGAGGTTTGGCAGAGGCAGGGCATGAGTGCCCAGGAGATGACTCTGCCTTTGGATGTGGTGATTCCCACCAACTCGCCGGATAAAGGCAGCATCGTGCTCAAGGCTGGTCAACGAGTGATGGTCCTGAAGAGTCCGAAAGGGATCTACATGCAGCTCGAGTCCGGCAAGATCATAGCTATCCGTACTGCACTTAAATTGAATCAACAGAAGCGTGATGAGGAACCAAAGAAAGGTGAGCCGTTTATAGTCATGATTTACGATTCAGGGTCGATGGCCCTTGTCCCGTGGCTTAATAATGTACACACATCAAAGTTCCACAGTATCATTTCGTATTTAATAAACTGAATTTCAATATCGCCCCTTAATCAGACCTCCTGGACTTTTCAGGATTATCATCCTTAGGCCAGAGGAACTCCAAGCCCGAGGTCAGCTTCCCCCTGAGGAACAACTCCGCGATCTCCATTATACCGAAATCATCCTCGAGTACCCAAAATCGTCCCCTTGGTAGACCCGGAAGCGGTCCCGGGTACAGACCTTTCGCGGACAAGGAGGCATCTCGGAGGCCAAAGCCAGTAGCCACGGCCACCGCAAAGCCGTACATGAGTCAAGTCAGTCTGACCAACCAGGTGTCCCTGTCTCGGCTGCCCAAGGTGAAGCAAGAGCCCGTTGACAACTCCTCCCTCGGAGAGAACTCGAACTCGTCGGATGGCCAGGTGCGCCCAGAGCAGAGAGTCGAAGAGGTCCGACTAGAGGACGTGGTGGCCGAGGTCAGCTCGAACTCGGAGTACAGCCCATCGACGATAAATCGACCAACCACTGGGGAAGCGGACCCAGGGTTGCAGAAGTCCTCCGAAGAGAGACCCCAGGGGTACACCTCCGACAGCGTGACCAACCCTCCCAGCGAGCCATCTCAGCCCGAGTCGGAGACGTTCTCCAAGCCGGATAAGGAGTGTTCTCCGGCGGAACCAAAGGAGCCGAGGAAGACCGACTCGCTCACCAGCTTCGAGCAGAACTTTTCGAGCCGAAAAGACAAGGATGACACCCCGGGAATGAGTCCGGCCGACGACATCATCATCGAGGAGCCTCAACAGCCGGCTCCGCCGCCACCTCCGCCCGCCCCCGTGCAGAGGGAACCGGAGCCGACGCCGAAGACCGCCCCGGAACCTCCCGTGGCGTCCACCACAGCGTCCGTGTCCACTGGAACCACCACGACGACCACGACTCCTCTGAAGACCTCGGAGTCCAGTATTCGCGAGGCTCCGGCCGTTCCCCAGGAGCCTCATGGGGTTCCTCAGGGCTACCCTTATGCTCAGTATCCAAGGTATTATGACTACACCGACCCGAGGGCAAGGTCACTGGCTAACCCCTACGGGACGTACTTCCCGAGCGTTCCTCCCCACTCGGCTGGACCCAGACTCCCCGTGGACGGAGGGAAGACTCAGTCCGACCCCGTTAAACCCACCGAGGAGGGGACCCTGACGACTGCTTCGAGCATTTACTCCCACGCTGCCGGCCCCGGCATCAGCAAGGTACCCCTGGAACCTGCGGAAACCAAGAACACGGATATTACGATCACATCGGTCCCTGCTAGGGACGAGCCCCACGTCCCGACTGCGTTCAGCCATCCGACCAACGCTCGGTACCCTGGACCGTATCCTCCGGCACCCTATGACCCGTACTCGCAGCACTATCCACCTGCTCCTGGATCTTCTGCGGCTTACCCACCTGCCGGTACGTTGCCGGACGTTTCTAGGATCTTTGTCGATATCGCCGATGACCTGGAGATCTGACTCGACTTAACCCTTTCGATACGGTTATGCCTTTCGTTACCATGCTTCCGTTCTATGGATACTCGAATCGCGAATACGATGCCCGCGCAGGAACAGGTGATTATAGTTATCCGCAGGATTCGGTGACTCTGCGATGGTAGGTGACAATAATCATCTGTAGTATCGAAAGGGTTAAGTGAACAAGTAAAGCGTATACATCGATATTGCGTAGGTCGGGATATATCGCGAGGAGGAATAATAAAATTATTAAAGAAATTTCAGGCAAGCCATTGTCGCTATATATAAAAAAAAAACGCATTCGATAATTAAAATCCATGATTCCCTCAGTGAATAACCGTATCGTATGAACGAATCGTATCGCTAAGGTGAAAAACAATATTTCAGGTGCACCGGGGTATCCGGCTTACGGAGGACCCACCTACAACACGGAGTACGCGCGAATGTACTCGGCGTTCCATGGACCTCCTCCAGCAGCTGACCCGTACATGCACAGAGGATACGCACCTCCGTCGTCGCATCCGCCTAACTACTATCCGCCGTTTCCGCATCCACCGCCACCGTACCCGAATTACTCGTTTCTGCCACCATATCCGAACCCCAACATGCCAGGGGAACCTCAGCCCCCGACCCAGTAGGACGAACCTCCACCCGTGAGGGTTGTCGGTGGAAAAACTCGTCGATCGTTGAAATCCCTGCAGAGCCTCGCACCAGGTTCCGGGAGCTCCGTGAACAGGAGCCCGGAAACAACCCGAGGTCCCCGAGGGGTTCCTCGAGACCCTCGGTCGTTGCTCGCCGGCGAAGAGCAGTGACTTAGGGAGGTCGTTGCCCGGTTTCACCGAGTACACCCTACGTTACATCAGCAATACAGCTCGCGGTAGGAAGAACCGTCCGATCCGTGAAGCTCGGTTTCTGGACGGGAACTCTGTTTTGGACCTCTTCCTAATCGCCGCGAGTCCTCGGAACCGAGGTTCGTCCCCGGCGATGTCTTCTCGTTCTCGGTACTTTTAAGATAGTAGGCGGCGACCGGCGGTGTGACCCGTGTCTAGCTCTGGCTCACCCTGGAGAACGAGGTGTGATAAAAGGGTCGCGTTAGGACGCGGCGAACGTTGCGTTCTCTCCGGTTTGTGATATGTATGTATACCCCTCGCGAACCAACGCGGACTCGTGGTTCTAGGTGTCTCTCGGCGGGGCTTCGCGGGAAGTGTAGATTTTTCTAAAGGGCTCCTCTTAGGCGCTGAGCTTTTTACATTGCTTCGATTCGTTTAGAAGTTGCCATTGCCTCCGAGGCGCGATCGCCCGCCCCTCAGGGCGAGCAATCCTTGCCGAGACGGGGGAGGACACCGTTTAAGAGGGTGAGATGTTGCGTCGGTGGCGTAATCGGGAATCTCGCTGGTTTACGGCTTGCACCTGGACGCGACGTAGCTCGAAGCTCTTCTCGGCATCGAGGGGCCCATCCGAGATCGGTCGATCCATATTTATAGCCTATCGCCAGGATTACGTCGGTTCTCCGCGTATCCCGTACCGTTCGCCGCTGGGAAATGGACAAAGAAAAGAAAGAAAGAAACAAAAAGGATTAAGATTTGTTTTTGGTTAATTAAACGCGCCCGTACCGGAGGTAACGGCCGCGTCGGCATTTTGCGCCTCTTCGCTAAGCGGAGCGTCGCAGAGACAGTACAGAGTAGCAATCTACGTCGTGCAATTAGTACCGAGACTAATCATGATCCCCTACCCCGAAGCGCGCGATCGGCGTTGGGCACGTTTTTACTTCTAAGCTTCGCCGGGGTCGCGGGTCCCCCCATTGGCTTCGATTTATCCCCAGGCGGGCGTCGAATCATTGTCGGGCGCGTCCAACAGACTTTAGCCGTTTCTCTTCCCCACATCTCCTTATCGCAATCCCTCGTTTCTCGTTCCGCCGTTAACTTCGTCTCGCCGTAGATTAATTCGAGCCCACTCGAGCATCGCATCTTCCACCGAGACCGTCTCCCCGTAGGGCGGAAGAGGCCGCGAGGGTGGGGAAAAAAGAAACAGGAAATAAGGGACTTCCTCGCCTCGAGTCGAGCCATGCCATAGGGAACATGTCGGGTCGGCCATGTCGGCCCCCCTCCGCCCCGAGGATTTTTTATATAATGCATTATACGTACAGTATTCACGCGAAAACATTTAGCGACCGGTACCGGCAGTCTACACAGCATCCTTAGCAAGTTGTATATGGACTACGTATTACTTCTAAACGTTAACGGTTTTTAACGATAATTAGGTAATATTACGGTAGCATGTAGGCTCGTTGTTAACTAGGGATGTCCTTTGATCAGTAGCCACCTTGGGACGTAGATATTGAGGAGGGATACCCACGCGGGGCAGGGGAGCCGCGACTCGCCCGGGATGGGCCGCGGGCTCGGTACTGTGATACTTCGTCATAGTCTTGCGCCCGCGATTTTCGATTTTGATATACTCTTTGTAAGGGAAGGGAGACGGAAAGGGAGACCACGAGGGCGTGCTTGAGGCGAGGGCCCCTTCGTTCCGTCCCTTCCCGCCGCCCTCGAACGTTCTCGCGGACCGACCGACCGACGGACACGTTAAGGGCACGCGACCCCCCTCGACGCTACGACGACGACCGCTTATTTTTCGGAATTTCGGCGCAAGGTTTTTCTTCGTAAATTTTCTATACGGCCCGCGGACCCGTCCCGCGGGATCTCGACGCGCTCCCACGGAGTATCGTAGTCGAATTATAATTCTAGAGCGGTAAGCATCGGCGCGCGCTAGGTATATATATATATACACATATATATATATTCTCATCTATATATACACAGTTTACTTCGTCCCTTAGGACGGATGCGCCGCTTCTTCGCTTGCAGCGAGACATCGGGGTAAAGGGCGGAAGGGAGGGCGAGGAGGGACCGAGAGGGAACAAAAAGAGGGTATTTTGTCACTTTGAGTCGTGTATTCGTTGTGTCGGCGCGTTTTATAGGTTCTAAGTGTACAGAGACGATTAAAAGTGACGTACGCGGCGTTAAACGAAGCTGGACAATGCCTTCCGTTGCGAGCAAGCGGCGCATCCCGTATATATATATGGATATATATATATGGATACAGTGGTGTCGCAAAGGGCGCTTAACCGTATGATAAGATTAAAATTGGAAATGATTATTACATTTTCTCTCTGTTATGGTCTCTCCCCCCCCCCCGTCCTGCCTGGAGTCCCGCTTCCCCTCGCTACCGCCCCCTCACCTCCTCCTTCCCCCCCGTTTACATATTTGTAAATACCCATTATTTACATTTCATACTTTATTTATTATTATACATCGTCGCGATTATCGATTGCTTTCTCGACGTCGGACTAGATTGCTCTTGTGTAAAATAAAAGTGAAATTGTTTACATCGATCGATTGATTATATCGTTTTGATCATATTGTTAGTTATACACGGAGAGTCCAAAAGGGTATATATATATATAAATATATATATTTTTTTGTTTTGTAAGAGGTTGATGACGCGAACCTCCCCTTCGCTAGAACGACGAGTCTCGTCTTTGTATTGAGAGGAGAGAAGGGGAATGGAGAGGACACTGTGCATGTAAATGCTTTAGCGTTTAAGGAATTATCACGTCAATGTCAGATACCGTATGACTGTAATTATTTAAACGGAGGAAAAAGGAAAAAGAAGGCAACTCGCGAGATGGGGTCTCGTCCGAATCGCTGAATCCGAATCTCCCAGTGTTTTACACAAGGTGGAAGAACCCTTTCGGATTATTTCGAATCTTCTCTATCTCTCTCTCTCTCTGTGCACACTATGTGAACTATACATATACATATTATATATAGCACACAAGCTGGGTTTATTGAAAAGTTATAATTAGCGAATTCATAGTTAAAGTATTCTAGCGCAATGACGATTTTTCGTATGTTTTACTTCTTTGATTGTAATTTTTCTATAAACCGTGCTACGGTGTACGAGAAATAAAGTGATTCAAAATGGAACGTTGACTGGTCTTTGGTCGGTGATAAAGTTATGTCTAGTGATAAGCGTACACCTCGAATATATGGTCGCGATTGTTATTTCGTGTCCAGGGTGAAGTATTTGTTATTTTTTATTTAACCTTTTTTTTTTCTTCTGACGTGACGTACACGTCGAGGATTATCAAATTTCCAATGATTTCCGGTCGATATTGTCTGTCATCGCGTTAGGGAAAACACTCGGTCTTGACCAAGCTTTTAGATTTTCTTTCTTTTGAGCTAAGCACAGAAAGCTTAATACGGTAAAAACCTGATATGTGTCGTGCAACAACTATGTTCCAAGATGGCTAAATACTGCATTTACAAATGCCAATAACATTCCATGTGCTCGTGATGCGTATTTAGACAGTGTTTTAAACGCGGAATTAATATAATTGCTTCCACGCGTTTTGCGAATTCGGGTGGTTAAGGTGATGCGAAAGTGACGTCAAAGAGGTCTCGTTTATAAAACTTTCCTCCGAATTGGTTGTATACGCATCGTTTTAAACTTTACAATTTCAATATGGAGGCTATAAGGAATAGATCCTGACACCCATGACATTTCAATTAAAAAAAATCTCTTTATAGATATTTTCAAGATTTGTTATAAAAAATGAGGTGAATCTACCGACTTCTTTTTTCAGGGCGAGTTCAAGGAAGCGGAATATTTTTTATCTATTATTGGATAGTCCGGCGACACAACGAGGACGAGTGTGTTTGAATTTTGGCGCGTAAATCACCCGGCAAACTTGTGAATTTCGTAGGGGAGGTGCGGGGGCGCATGCGTGGGAGGCGCCTCCCACGCGCTGCTACGTATTCCACGTACGCGCGATTACGTCAGCGGCTGCCGGGGCAGCCCCAGGAAGGGGGAGACTTCCCCCGGGCCAAGGTGGGGTGGCATCGACGGGGGTTGGGAGGTCGGCACGTCAATAGGAGAGTTCGCTAGAGAGTGGGGCACGCGGGGGTGAAAGCGCGGTGGTGAAAGGAGTGGGGGAAGGGATCCGTGGAGGGGCGGGCGCTCCACGAGCTCCCCTCTGCCGCCGCTGAGCCGCGGCGTTGCCGGATCGAGGTGCGCTCCCCTCGTAGTACGCCACCCCCCACCCGGTCGCGTGGCTGACCCTGCGAGGGAGAGCTTCGCGTTTCTGATAAGCCGAGGAGGGGGGGAAGCCATGAAATCCCTTTGTTCGAAAACCGCAACACTCTTTACCTTACCAAAGGTTTCGACCTTATCGTTACCCCGGGATAACGAAACAACAAACATAGTCCCTGATCATCGTTAGTCGTGTGGGGACTTTCTCGAATAGGACAAACTGGGGACGAAGTAGGAAGACGGAGAGGAAGAAACGTGAAAGTGAGTTCATGGAAAAGGGGCCCGATTTTCGAGTTCATACGATGAACTTTAGCATGCGAAATCGACAGATGGACTTTGAAATGATGACCGATGACGCGACTTCGCAACATTACAAGACTTCTCGTGTGAATCTATTTATATGAGAGTAAAACGTCGTATAAACTCGAGAATCGGGTCCTTGATCCCTCGCTGTACATTCCGTGACCGATGGTCGGATCGATTTGGGCTAATTTTTAATTTCCGGGAATTTCTTCGTATCCCAACAGGGTGGATCTCCGCGTAACGGCCGCTACTCGCGCAAGGTTATGCGAGACGGCGAGGCGGAGGATTCTGCGGCGACGGTGGGGGTCGGCGCCACCTTCGCGAGCGCGGTAAGAAGTTCCACCCCTGCGAGAGTGGCAACGCCGCCCCGCGGTCGGCCCACGGTCACCCCCCGCGGGCAGCAGGGGGGACAGGGAGGGGGATAAGCAGGTAGGAGCGGACGGCGGGTGGGTGCCTGACTAAAATGTGACTCGGTCGAGGAAACGCGCTCGCCAGCATCGAATCCCATTTAGTTTAGGGAGGTACGCACCACACCGCGGACATCTTGCGCGGCTCCTTGACGAGCAGGCGGCGGTCCGGTGCGCCCTAACCTCTCTTTTCGAGTCGCGCGCGCGCGCGTGCGCTCGCAACTCGAGCCGCCCCGTAAACACGCCGAGGGAGGATCTCGAGTCTCGAGCTGTGCGCCACGGAACGTACATATCATTTTTCTCTAGCCTTCGGGGCACGGACAGACTGCTCCCCTCGACTCGAACGCTTCTATTGAGGCGGCCGATCCTGGGCTCGTGGTTCGGGAGCGCCACGCGAGGCGTCGCGCCGATTCCGATTCTGATTGGCCGATTCCGCCCGACCGGCGAACCCCATTGGCCGAGCTCGGGCGCTCCCTCGCCGACCCGCCGCGCGACCCATGACCGAGTGCACTCGCCGACAGTCGACCGGGACTCTTACGTAGGAACGAAGAAACTGTGATCTGCGTGGGCGCGCTAAGGAGAGAGAGGGCGCTCCCCGAGCAGGTGAGTGAGCCAAAGGTGCCGGACCTTCATCCGATTTGCCCGCGCGAGACGCCTTTTTCCTCCCTTTTTCTACTTTACGGGAAGTGCTGGTATTTCATTCCTATTACGTTAACTGTACAATTTATCGAATTCGAAGGTTTTATATCATGTGTCTGTATATGTATATATTGATATTAGCTAAGAAATGTTATAAAGCGTTATAGGGTACTCCGGATGTGTATCTCGAATAGTTCATTTTCATTCATTATTAACAGGTTTAACGTGTTAAGGGGATAAACACTGACAGAAAAAATAGCTTCCTGAGGTTTCTTCTTCGTGACGATCGTAAAGCAGGTAGATGAAAAAGGGAGTTTGCATGGAATTACGGTAATATTTTGATGATCCGCGAAATGGCGCATGTTTTTTTAGAAAATTCGACAGTTGTCCAGAAAACGTACTAATTTTTTTTTCCCTACCACTTTTGGGGCGAAATGTCAATTGTATTGAAAATCCGTCCGATTAACGGAAACGGCATTCGTGTACTTTGAGAAAATTCTGGACGGTTATTTCAATTAACTTTTAACTTGACGGGGCACAACCGACTAGAATTAATGCAGCCTGCAGAGTCGAATTTTGTACGCAAATAATGGAAATTAATCGATTAAAAATATTTTCCAACGGTTGAATGAAAGACTCCAAACTCGTTCTTGTCCTCTCATTGCTCGTGGATCCATTATAGACTGTATCCGCAGTCTTATGTTTCCCCCTGAAAAATTTTTGTTTGCTATATCTATCCTCGTCTTTGCGAATTCGATGCTTATCGGGACGTACGCATATTTATCGCGAAATTATTACGTCGGAGGGTTTGCTATGATTTGATCTGAGAAACAACATTTTCTCCCCTAATGTCTCTTCTCCTGAGGAGGTGCTTTTTACGGGCTCAATCTTTATCCAACCTTACCCTAATGTATACACTCTATCAGGAATGATTACCACATTGAAAGATCCGTGGGGATGTAATTATCAACCCCCCCCTTGCTGGGGAAAAATCATATTTCCCCTGGTCTCTCTTTCATAGGAACGAAATGCTTAACTTTTGACCACGGAGCGGCGAATCATCCCTAGTAGCACAAAATATTTGTCCTGTATTTTCTATATATTTAACGAATATCGTACATTTTGTAAATATTTAGCAGACATTTGAAATATTTGCCAAACGTTTACTTTAGAATATTATCTCTATAATATTTATATAATATTAGCTCCATGTGTTTTCATAATATTTTTCTACCAGATATACAAAACATTTCGTTTCATTTTAATACAAGTATTTTTTAAATATTATCTGCCGAATACATTATAAACGTTTTAAAAATATTTAAAATCAAAATCACACGTTTTGCTCCCATAATGAAATAGCGGAACGAAAATATTAGAAAAATTTCTCGTGTTTTTTGATACCAAATGAAGTGTCCGATAATAGTCGTGAAGTAAAAAATGTATTTTTATTATGTTAATAAGTTAAAAAATATAATTTCTCTATATGTTTATAAATTATTGAAACTAAATATGTCATTGAGATTTTCAACAAATATTTCAGATATCGTCGAATGAAATCTACAGGAAATCTTAGAAAATCTGTCGCGTGAGATATTTAGCAAAGATTACAAAGAAATATTTAGAAATTATTCTATGCTACTAGGGATCGATCACGTAAGCCGATTTGCAAAAATGGGGGAGGAACGTAAAACCGCTGATCGGCCGCCACCGTCGACGGAGAAGGGAATACAAATTATCACCGATACGGACCACGAATATGAAAACGATTTTATTCACCTGCGTAAATATCGATTATACCACGAGTAGTTAAAACTGTCCGATTAACGCCGCACGCGGAAAATTGTTTGGTAGAATCAATTGTAGTTTTGTTGGTTCAACCATAGAATGTGGTTATTAGAGCGACGACCAAGTATTTGGTTGGGGTGACAGAATTCTTTTGTTAATCATTTTTGGTTGATTACATCACATATTGCGGTAGATCGTACCATATGTTAAAGTAATACTGGTCAAATGATGGTTTTTAAATGGTATTGGTAGGGGGGGTATAAATTGTCGGTAGGTTGAGGGTTAATGAATCGGGTAATGTAGTTAGTCATTTAATTTCGTAAATGGAAATTTGCTTATAACAAATTTTGTATCCCGAGGAATTTGCAAAATCCTGCACGGTGCAGCGTCTAGTTTAACACTTAAACGGACATTGGGGCATTTTGACCGAATGTCATTACATCTTAAATTTGCATTTTGCATGTGCAATCTGGCACTTTGGCATACTCTCACGGGGGTAGTTGTGATTAATAATGGTCGAAAGGGAAAGAAACATTTGAATCTGTTTTTTGAAGGCAGTCGTTTATATATATATTTTTCATATACTTATGATGTTGGGTAAAAAAATTAAATTTAAGGGTTAACGAAGGAATTCCTTTTTTGTTTCGATCGACTCTTCACCGGAAGGGCCGCGTTTTCCGAGCTTTTCCGGGGCTGGAATCTTCTGATCTTCGGAGCTTTCCGGGAATGCCTGCCGTTATATAAGATCGTGCTCAGGGCTTTTCGTCGATGACACTGGCAACGAGGGTGTTGTAAAACGTGGGGTAGAATAGGCCGCAATTTCGCAGGGGACGATACCGGAGCCTACTCGTTATAATAGAAAACAACGATACCCCGAAGAGAATAACCGCGATCCCGGTTTTCCTTTTTTTTTTCTCTTCTCCTCTCGAAATTAATTAGGGAATGAAACTTGGCAATTTTGAAAATAAAGGACCCGCCAGGAATCCCAGGGGGAAAATTGAGGGGAGGATTGTGTTGATGCTTTGAATAATTGCAGTCTTAATTGGGGGCGCGAAAAATATAAACCGTGCGTTTAGCACTTGGGACAGAAGTTATACACTTTTGTTTTCTTTTTTATTTTTCCAGGGATACGTGTGACTAGTTGCAACGTAATTAATGATGTAGGTGTAACGATTGTTTTTAATGGAATAACAGAAAATATAATGGTACTAATTATGCTTGGATGGGATTTTATGATTCATTCCCCGAATGAATAATGAATGCATTTTCATTATTATGCATTTGTATTCGGATTCTCTTTGAATATTGAATTCGCTATGGGTTATTCATACGTTAGCCGTATACATAATAGATATTTATTCATCCCGCGGGTAAATGGAGAGTAAACTTCCAATTGTACCGTTGACGAAAGTCGATTCCCAGTTATGAAAATGGAATTCTTGGGGGGCACTTCAGACCCTCCGAATAAATATCTTCCTTTGACTGGCTCGGTATCGACCTTCCCTTTGTTGGCTGGAGAACGAAGTTTAGTACGACGACATCGCTCGAGAATTTCGGAAAAGAGATTTAATCATCGGGATAGTGGTTAAATCCTTCGTAGGAACGACGCGAGGCGATATGAATTTTTTGCGTGCCGGGTAACGTAATTACCGTCGTATGTCCCTCGGTACGGCTAATTAAACGGATTCTACCCTCGAGCTTTTCAGGACCTTTTCATCCCGCCGTAGGACGAATTCATTTAATTCGTTCATGGTTCATTGCTCCTCCGAGTTACGTAAAGCAAATTCAGCGAATTCAGGAAATTCAGGTGACTCGGCGGCACAATATTTTTCCGGATTTTTTCTCCACGTTGAAAAATTGCCCCGGGGAATTATTAGTCGTCGGTAAAAGTGTACTTTCGTGTACGTGCTTTTTCCTGCTTTATCCTGCTTCAAAAAGGAGCGATGGCGGGTATATGGATGTTTTGGTTAAGGTTATTGATTTTGGGCCCTACTTGGAGTCGTTAGATTTATCGATTGTGAGTCTTCGAAACACCGCTAATGTGGTCCATTCTTATGAGCTGGAATTGTCGTAACAGTCGTTAAGGGCCAAACTGATTTTACGGGTCTTGGGGAAATACTTTACGACAGTAGTAGTTAGGGTTTTTATTGGCACTCGAATGAAGTATGTCGGTAGAAAAGGCGAACCACCTCGTTGCACATTGCAAAACGTTTTCGGAGTCAAATGTCCCTTTCCTGTTGGTTGAAGAATTATTTCTTTCATGTAAGTTTTCCTACATTGCGTTGGATTTCTTACCTTGTATCATATTCCTCGGATGATTATTTTATGTAACAATTACACATTCATTTAAGCATCGTCTAATTTTAAGCGAAATTAATTGAATCAGTGAACGCTAAATAATTATATTCTGAATACGACATACATATTATTTACAGTACGTGATGTACGTACAGCAATGGTACACGCAAATATGCACTGAATTATTCATCGCAATTAATTTAAGGAAGAATTAATCCAATTAGAGAATGATAAATAATAAAATTGGTACATTTCGGATAATCGGTGGGACGAATCTGCGCTGCCATTTATTTGAATATATGTATAAAATGTTCTCAAAGTTTCAATGAATTATGTACATTCCTTTCTTGTCAAAAAATTCATGAATATCATAAAAAAAACGTAGTCCTAAACCTATCTCCCCCCTTAAGTTGAGAACTGTATACGTTCACAGGGTATATTTTGATGGGTTATACACGAGACTGAAATATACAAGGGATCGGATGAGACGGAAAGTTGAGCTTGCGACGATGAGGTCGGTTTTCTCATACACCGGGGAATCGAATCCTACCTAATAGCTTTTAATACTTTATAAATTTTAACAATGGGCTTGTACATGTTTATATGTCAATTTCGAAGGGTCGTTGACGAGACTGAAATTTATTGGGGCTCGTATAATGCGGAAAGTTGAGCTTGCGATAATGTGGTCGGTTTTACCGTGAACCAGGACACCGAATTCTATTTAACAATTTTGGCGAATTTTAAAAGTATGAGTGTATATGTTTGCATGTTAATTTCGAAGGGTTTTTATGTGAGACTGAAATTGAATGGGGCTCGTATAAAGCGAAAAGTTGTGCTTGCGACGATGAGGTAATTTTTCTCGTGGACTCCGACCACGA